AGATTCATACAATCCAGCCCAGAAAATAATACTCACCTCTGTCTTGTAAGTGCTGGGATGCAGGAGATTCATGCTTGAGCAGAGCCTTCATTGGTTGGAATTGGCTATTTTGTGATTCTTGAACTGGTGTCAACAATGCCACCTTGCAACAGAGCAGTTCTTGCCCCTGGTGGCCACCGGGAGGCTGAAAGTCATTCATCAAGCATTTCTATCATGCCTTCTACATGTTATTTCTACTTTCTAGGCACTAAGACCTTTATGAAGATTAATCCACTTAATTCAGACAACCCTAAGAGCTAGAACTTTGTGACTACAAAATTGAGGTCCAGTTTAGGTAGCTCACCTAAGACACCCAATTTATAAACAGCAATGCTAATATAGGAGCTCAGGCAGAACAATTCAAGAGCCCATAATCTTAACCATTACTCTGTGCTCTCCCATTATATGCAATTGTGCTTTTATGAAACTGTTTGGAATCTGGTGCTAAATTCTCAAAGAATATTAATATTTCTTCTTACCTGAAAAAAATCTGGATAATAGTATCTAGTTTATGGGGCTTAGGAGACTAGTAAATAAGATTAAATAAGATTATAGTAGGCCAAACCACTCAACAGAGTTTGGCACACGGTATGTCCTTGTTAAATGCAGATTTTCTTCCAGACATCAGTTAGTTTTCAAGTTTCTTTCTCATGTGCGCTCAGAATTTCCCACATTCTTTATAAAGAATGTAAGAGACTCCAGATGATTTTTCACTGTTACAGAGCTCAGTGGAATCGATCCAAGTAAAGAAACTTGGTTTCCTGATAACTGAAGGCTCTGAGAGAACTTGCACAAGAACACTGGAAAAGATAAAGAGGAAACATTGTAAAACAGATGAGAAGATGGAGGTAAAAGTTCATCCATTTTTTAACAAGTTCAAACCCAGTGGTCTGTGAACTTGTATAGGAAAAAAAATGGTCTTTTTTTTTACTAGTCTCTAAGAAAAATGTAACATTTAAACAAGCTAATGCGACATAAGCAGTACTAAGACTTTGTCATCAAAATAGGTCTTATTACTTAGCACATTTAAGTTTAAAAAACACATATCTTTACTGGACGTTTAATCATTTGCTAACTGTGTATCAATATGATTGAGTTCTTTTGTAATCCTTTATATTTTTCTTTATGTATTTAAATACTCTGAGAAAGGGTCCAGAATATCGATAAGGAGGTTCACAATACAAAAAGTGATCTTAAAGAAATACCCCTCGCTCTGATCTTCAGGAAGGCACAGACCACAGCTCTCAGATACTAAACCTTTTCTTTCTACCTGAGGTGTGGGTTCATCCAGATGCTTCTCCAAATACTCCAACAGTACCACCACCTCCTCCCCGCTCTCTGGATGCTGCTCCCGCACCCAGTTCTGCAGGTCCCCAGGTAGGATGGTCAGGAACTGCTCCAGCACCAACAGCTCCAGAATCTGTTCCTTGCTATACATCTCAGGCCTCAGCCACTGTCGGCAGAGCTCCCGGAGCCGGCTCAGCGCCTCTCTGGGGCCTGAGGCTTCCGGATAACAGAAAGCACGAAAGCGCTGGCGCGAACATTCCTTGCCCCAGGCGAGGCTACCGGGTGCGCTCTCCTCAGTAACCGAGGCGAATTCCTCCTTCTCCACCTTCACAGTCAGAATCCCCATCTGCTCTTCTGCAGAGTGGGCTTCCAGGGCAGTTTTTTCTCTCCGTTCTCTAGCCATCCCGAGCAAAAGCAGTACTTGAATCACACTCTAGCTCCCGTTGAATATCTTCGGAGAATTCATGAAAGATGGGAACTATTTGCCAGTAAAACTGGAAATGGTTCCCTCCTCTCATACCAGGGGCCCAGATCTTTCCTGAGACGCAACTGCACAGATCTCTCGTGCCTTGTGCAGCATACTCCTCTACACCCCACTCTAATCCCACAATAAATATTCTCAAAGGATGTCCTTGGGGTGAAAGTGAACACTGTCCAGACACACGAGAGAAGTTGAGGCTGGGGTCTAGGAAGCCTCGCGGGGAATCAAAGCCACTTCCTGGGCTCTCTAGGAAATTCCTCTCGGTGGTTGTCTCCGAATTAACCCGTTAGGGATCCTGTCTTTACCCTCACTTAAGGGAGGTTTGTTAAGGAAAGAACGGCATACCGTGAATCATAAGAAATAGGACAAGAATCTTCAAAATCTAAAGGTTGCTGCTGGGGTCCTCAATTCTTTCTGATGTAAAACTTGCCTAAAAACCTGGCATAAAATTGACACTAAAATACAGCTAGAAAGCAGTGTTTCCTAGAGTCTTCAGAACTCTGGTAGGAGTTTTTGTTTCTTAGAAACATCAGAGAGGCAGAACACATCACCAGGCACTTGTTTCAGAGTAATGACTGCCTCAGGTCCTTGCTCCCCCAACACCTCCCCTAGTCTGCCACCTTCCTCCCTTTGAGGCAAAAACAGTAAATTGAAGGAAAGCTCTCCCACCCTGACCTCATCCCCTCACAAATCCTTACCACATTCTAGGCAGTGAACTGCCAATGTAGCCACTGAGATAACTCCAGAAAAAGTAACCAGAAACTTCCTCCCCCAGCACCAGGTGGTAACCTGTTTGTTTTCCATAGCCTGTTCTCCAGGTTACCAATTTCAGTTTCCATGGCATGTAACCAGGCTTATGCTGCTCTCTGCTTCCAGAAACTCTCTAGTCCCTTGCTTTAGGTACATATTTTCCTCCTGCTTTCTTCCTTCCTGTTTCTTTCCAGACACTATTCATGGTCTAGCACAGTGGGTAGATATACAGGCTCTCAAAGCAGGTCAACTGAGTAATCCTGACTTTATCACTCATCAGCTAGGTGATATTGATAACTTAAATTTAACTTCTCGGTATGTATGTGAGTCAGCTTTTTGTTGCTATAGCAACAATTCTGAGAAATTTCGAGAACGATAGGAAAATGTTACATGTAAAAACAATTTCATTTTAGCTGAACTTTCAAAATCTGGTGCTTTTCTTAATAATTGTAAAGTATTGTTTTCCAAAACTTGTACCTAATTCTTAAAGTTCTTCAAATATATTTGTGTTCTGTTAGTGAGTATTTGTTATCTATAAATAAAACACAAAAAAATAAAATCCTCTCACCTCCAAAATGCATGATATGTGTTTATTCTTATTCCCAAGCACACCTTTTGCACTAATGTTTTTTTGGCCAAGTCAGAGGTGAGTAAACTACTGTCTACAAACCAAAGTTGACTCATTGCCTGCTTTTGTATGACCTGAGTGAGGAATGGGTCATTTTTTATCTGTATACAGTAGTTTACTCACCCCTGACTTAGTGTCATACGAAACCACATAAAATTCAGTTTCCATAAATAAAATTTTATTGGAACAGAGTTAGGTCCATTTATTTACATGTCTATGGCTGCTTTTGCTGTCCAAGAGTAAAAATCAAACAAAATGTTATTTGTATAAAAAAGAATTTCATGCTGGGCATAGTGGTGCTTGCCTGTAATCCCAGCAGTTTGGGAGACTGAGACAGAGGATTGTAAATTCAAAGCCAGCAACAGTGAACAGTGCAACAGTGAAGGCTAAGCAACTCAGTGAGACCCTGTCTCTAAATAGAATACAAAATAGGGCTGGGGATGTGGCTCAGTGGTTGAATGCCCCTAAGTTCAATCCTTGGTACCAAAAAAAAATAAAATTCATCCTTCCTGTTAGAAAAACTGTATTACCAAAAAAAAAAAAAACAAACAAACAAAAAAAAACCCTGTATTTTAATTGCATTCTGAATAAAAAAAAATTATATTTCACCTATCTTAAAAATGTGTGAAAATTTGTATTTTCTCTTGCTATCAGTATATCATAGCTCCATGGTAGAGCGCTTTCCTGGAATTCATGAGATTTGGGGTTTCATCCCCAGCAGTACAAACAAAACAATGAACAAAACACAAAAACTAGGTATTTATATAATATCCTCCACATTGCCTCTTGGCCCACAAAGCCTAAACTATATTGGTCTTTTACAGAAAATATATGCCACATCTGTTGTAGGTTATAGGTTTCCTATACAAACGGATATATTCTAAAATTCATTTTCCCACGTGCTATTGGTTTGTTAATATTTGAATTTCCCATCAAATACTGCATGGCTTAATTTCAGTAAACTGAAGTAACATTTCAGATCCATTTCATTGAACTATGAAGTCCTCGAAACAAATTTTTTCTTTATTTACAGAGAATCTGTAGTGCTTACCTTATTCATTGCGATATTTTCCATATACGTGTGATCATTCATTTATATTACTCCCAGCTTGCCAATTCCTATATTAGAATGGTCTACGGTATGGTGCTAATCCATGTCCTTTTCAATCACATTACTAAACTTCTTAGATCAAATTATATATTTTGGTTCTATTCAATTTAATTTCCTCACTTCATTGTTTACAATCATGAAAGCATCATTCCTAAATTGTGGTTTAGCTCATCTTTCACTTTCAAAGTCTATGAGCTAACTGAAACGGATCAACTTAACTAGAGAAAACTCTGGTGAGAGAAATGCCTACGTACATTTTAAGACCAGGGAGAAATGGTTTTATGTGAAATATTCGCCATTTCAGAGAGTTTGCTCTAAAAATATCTTCAGAAAGTGGTTCCGAACTAAGTTTCTTAAGAAATGACCCCAGATGAGGAGAGTCAACGGGGGAAAATTTGGGAAGGCTGTGATTCAACAAGAGAGGAACTAATTCGTTTATTTCTCACGGGGGCCCAGGTTGTAGAAAGTAAATTTTTAAAAATAGGCACCCACTCCCCAAAGGAAGACCCATACAGCCTCCCCTGATACCGGCACCTCACGGTCCAGGCGGTGACTCGGCGTTAGCCTGGCAACCCGACGGAAGCAGAAGCCGAGCGCGGGGAGCCCAGGAGCCATTCCTAGTGCTTGCCTCTGCGTAGACAGGAAGTGTCGAGGCCTCGGTGTCTGCAATAACTGTCCTGCGTTGGCCATTTGGAGTGCTGCTCATGGCTCCAGTATCTCGGTCCAGCTATTGCGAGGACGCCCCAGGTTCTCAGAGGCCACGACACAGCTCTTCTGGGAGCCCACCGTCTGCGCGGAACAGGCACTCCCCTTGGAGTGGCAGTTCCCGCCCTCACTCCCGAGGACCTGAGGGCCTCAAGCCTCCCTGGGTTGGGGTGTGCGTTGGCCCTTCTTATACCCTTAGCCGCGCTGGGTCTTGGGAGCGGCCTCCAGGCCTCCACAACTACTACTTCTCGTCCTCCTCTTCAATTTACTATGGGGGATATCGCTACCACCACCGTCACCACCACTATGGGGGCGATTGGCAGTGGGCAGAACACTATGAGAAGGAAAAGGAAGAGAGCTGTCGGCAAAGGAGGCTGAAGGAGAGAGAGAGAATTGGGGAGTTGGGTGCGCCTGAAGTGTGGGGGCTGTCACCAAAGTTTCCTGAGCCAGATTCTGATGAACATACCCCAGTTGAAGAGGAGCTGAAGAATCAAAAGAGTACGAATTCAGATTCCAGCTCTGAAGAAAAAAGAAAAAAGAAGACCAGTCGTTCAAAAAAGAAAAAAAGAAAGAAGTCCTCCAAAAGAAAACATAGGAAGTATTCTGATAATGATAGTAATTCAGTCTCTGACACTGATTCTAGCTCTGATGATGATAAAAAGAAAGTCAAAAAACCTAAGAAGAAAGACAAGAAAAAGAAACACAGAGCGAAAAAATACAAGAAAAAGAATAAGAAGACTAAAAAAGAATCCAGTGACACAAGCTGTAAAGCTTCAGAAGGGGAATTTCCAGAAGGTATCTGGATGGGACAGTCAAAGACTGCAGGTACAATGGATTTAATAGGCCCAGAAGCACCTATAATACATACCACTCAAGATGAGAAACCTTTGAACTATGGTCATGCTCTGCTCCCAGGTGAAGGTGCAGCTATGGCTGAGTATGTAAAAGCTGGAAAGCGTATCCCACGAAGAGGTGAAATTGGGTTGACAAGTGAAGAGATTGCCTCATTTGAATGCTCAGGTTATGTCATGAGTGGTAGCAGACATCGCAGAATGGAGGCTGTAAGACTGCGTAAAGAGAATCAAATTTACAGTGCTGATGAAAAGAGAGCTCTTGCATCCTTTAACCAAGAAGAGAGAAGAAAGAGAGAGAATAAGATTCTAGCCAGTTTCCGAGAGATGGTGTACAGAAAGACAAAAGGGAAAGATGACAAGTAAAGACGTTTGTTGCACAGCAGGACTTTCAACAACAAATTTTCCATCACCAAAATAATTTGAAAAGATTTTACAGTGCTATTATACTTACTACATTAGTAAGTCCCTCAGGGGGAAAAAAAAAATCTGCTTTTTGAGATATCTTTAGTCATTTTATTTTTATTTTCCATTTAAAAAAAATACCTGCACATGATTTTTAAAATATTCAAATGTTACTGAAAGAGAGTAAAAGTAAATCTGTCATTCCAGTCCCCAATTTCCCTTCCCAAAGAAACCTCTTTTTGGTGTCTCCTGTATCTTCCCATCGTTTTGTGTTTATACAAGGGCATACTTTGCTGTATGAAGGTTAGCTTTATCCTGAAAAATGTTTTAAGGGTTTTTTTTCTTCCACATTTCTTTGATCTTTCTTTTGGAGGGCTTCATTGCCTCTTGGAGCCAGTCACTTGCCTCGAAAGGACTAAAAGAATCTCAAAAAAGAACAAAGGATTCAATTGAGTTCTGGTTGCAGTTAACAGATGAGCTTTTTGAAAAATAGAAGACATTTGATTCTTATAAACTGAAAAGTCTAGACAGCAAATGTATTTCCAGTATGGCTTTACTAAAACTTGGGATTATTTCCCAATCTTTCTTTTCCATGAGTCATTTTCCTCAAACTGGTTTCAAAAAGACTGCCAAATCTCCTGGTCTGCCTGTAAATAGGAAAATATTTGTAATATTGTCTATACTATCTTTAAAGAGCCAATATTTCTGACTTCACATTCCAAACAAGAATCCAGATTTTCTTGGGTCTCATGCCCACTTAAAACAAGGGCTATTGCCAGGAAAACAGAAAGGCCTACTCCCAGAGCTACAGGTATAGTTAGTTTATGAGTTACATGGGAAAAGAGTGCTATCTGCTGAATGAAAATCAGGGTAATGTTGGGCAGGGAAAATAGACAACCAACATATGCCTGTGGTGTTGGATTTAAAAAAAAAAAAAAAAACATGAAATAGTAGATTTCTGAAAGTTCTTGAAGAAAGTCTTGGCTTTGACTATTAGAAACCAAGTTCTGATTAAAGAGGACATAGGGTTTATCCATAAATGAGATATAAGTGAAACGATGAAGATTGGAGGTGCTTGAGTCTTCCAAAGAGTAGATTGGGGTCACCTGCACTAACAAAGAAAAAATGAGAAGATATAAAGGAGGAGCAGAACTCATGAAGAGAAGACCAGATCAGGAGGTACTCCATGCACAGGAGAGTTAGCATTGAGAGACTGACTCAGGATTCTCTAGGGAAGACTAGAATAAACTCAACTTGTGGTCTGTCATAAGGCCTTTGTTGTCATTTAGTGATTTCTGCCTGATATCTCACTGACCTTGACAAGTTCAATAGTGGCCAAACTATCTCATTTGAATAACACCCTTCTCAAGGCTCAAGACACTGGTAAGATGAAGGTGCAAAGGTGGGCTTCTAGAATCTAGCATGGAAGTGTAATGTGAAAGGTCACCTTCATCCCAACATATGGTACAGTTGAAACTGGACCATTCCAGCTTGAGGTTTTCCCAAAAAAGATGGGGGAATATTGACGAAAGACTGTTACATCTTCATTTTTAGAAATAAACAATTTATTCCAAACTAAACACAGGAATTGACAATTTGCTTTCTTCGCTTAATGGTAGATCTTGGAGATGTTTTGTGTCTGTCCATGTCATTCTCCTAAATGACTTATAGCATTCCATTGTATGAAAGGACTATATTTTACCGAATGTTTAAGGTATTTCTTATATTTTACTATTACACAGTACTGTAATGAAAATCTCTATGATGTGTGACAATATACCTAGCATATTCATCTAAAATAGAATTATTGGGTCCCAAAAAATCCTCTGAAAGCCGGGCACGATGGTGCATCCTTATAATCCCAGAGGCTTGGGAGGCTGAGGCAGAAGGATCTCGAGTTCAAAGCCAGCCTCATCAGCTTAGCTAGGCCTTAAGCAACTCAGTGAGACCCTGTCTCTAAAATTAAAAAAAAAAAAAAGAAAAAAGGCCGGGGATGTGGCTCAGTGGTTAAGTACTCCTGAGTTCAAATCTGGTACCAAAACAAAACAAAAACAAAAAACAAAAGAATCCTTTGAGTCATCTAGAAATGTTCGTCTTTCAGTAGGATTACTGGATCAAAGGGAAAAAGTATATTAGATGCTTTCTATGTGCTTCACACTGTGGTAGATAACTAGGAATAAACCCAGGATCAAGTTAGTCTTGATCACTACCATCATAGGATTTTACATTCTATTGGGGGAGACAGACTTAAGAATTAACAGTTACAAGTTGCAGTATGCTATAAAAAAAAATATATGGGTCTAGAGATTTTGCAGGGGGAACTTTTTGATATGGCTGTCAAGGAAAGTCTAAGAATGTCACAGTTAAGCTCTGTGTGCTTTTAATGGTTACTGAAACAGTGCTCTCTAATAAAATAAGATGCATCATTTTATAAACCAACATCAACACCAATATTGTACTTTCAAAAGCTTTTTATATTTGCCAATCTGATGATGAAAATGGCAGTTCATTTTCTTTTCATTTCTTTAGGAGGTAAGAGAAAGCATCTTTTAATATATTTATGAGTGTTTTACAATTTGTATGTGTGAGCACACTTTATAACTTGTCTATTCTTCTATAGGCTTTTTGTTTTATTAATCAAATTTTCAAATAATAAAAAATATCTATCATGTATCTTGAGAATATTTCTTCCTTTTATTTTTTTCCTCTAAATTTGCTTTATATAATCTAATGGATATACATTAAAAATAGAAATTTAAGCAAGATACATTACCAATTTAACAGAACCCGATAATCTAATTTCTTCCAATTTTTCTCAAATTCATTTGAGTGTTTCCATCTTGGTGCTCATAAAGAAATCAAACAACATATGGCTACTACAATTGAATGTCAAATTAAGTATGTATGACATACTAAATTCTTCTATAATACAATTATGAAGAATCTTTAAGGAACTTATGTTTTGTATATAGAAAAGAGTCAAACATTCAACTCAACAAAATTAAGAAACATTTCTGATTCCTCTGTTAGGTGTAGACTGCTTCTCCTTTTCTTAATGAATGTTTTTTTAGCTGTAATATCACTGAGCTGAACAAATAAATCACCTTCGGTACATAAGGAAAAATAAACACATGCTAAATGGATAAACATTACTACTACATCTTTACTAGACCATCTCTACCTCTAACACTTCAGAAGCTTAGAGATTTAGAGTATTCTTACATTAACTGCAAGAAAAATTAAAGGATAAATTCCTTTTTTGAGATCACAGCTATGAAGTCATGTGGTTATAAAATTCTGCATTTGTGTGCAAAACATTAATCACATCTACCTTTATTCACCCTAATAGTCTTGTCAATCACCTAGCAGGACTTAACAGATACCTTTCAAAGAAACAGGGACTGAGATGTGTTTATATAACTTCAATAATCTCATCACTACAGGAATGAGAGATGCAGTATCCTTTTGCTATGGTTCAAGACAATAAGGAAGGAGAGATCGCACGAAAGAGAAATCAAAATTATTACAACTGAGAAACTACTTCTCATTAAGTTTTACCATAATGTCACTTTCATTTTTACATAAGCATGGTGGCATAATTCAAGTTCAATAAATCGGAAATCTTAATATTTAAAATTTACCTTGACTTTCATTTATCACCATATTAACAACCAAAAGAATTAGAATTGAGTGTTTCCATCATGGTGCTCATAAAGAAATCAAACAACATATGGCTAATATGTTGGAAAGGGTAATGTTAAACCCACTTTGCTGAGTTGATTTATTGACACATTAACTCATTTTTATATAGAAAAGGGATAGTGCATCTCAGTTTGCTTACAAGCTAGGGAATCACTTAAAATTCTGCATTTCCTAACTGCAAACAGAATATAGCACTTACAACAGGTTATAAATAAACTGGTTTTTAAGCATAGAGCCAGCCCCAATGATAATACACTATTTAAAAAGACCTAAAGCAATGAATTTCATTTCCAATGGGAAAAAAGAACTGTGTAAACAAGCTTAAAACTACTTTTTTTGTGTGTGCCAGTGTTATAAAATGTAGCTTTTAATAAAACCTTGACCCAAATGCCATTAACTTCAGAAAATAATTTGGTGGAGAGAAGAAAGTTATTTCATTTAGGAAAAATAACCACTATCTTCTTTCCTAATCTTCAACACACACAATTTATTTATTTATTTATTTTTGAGAGAGAGAATTTTTTAAATATTTATTTTTTTAGTTTTCAGCAGACACAACATCTTTTTTTGTATGTGGTGCTGAAGATTGAACCTGGGCCGCACACGTGCTACCGCTTGAGCCACATCCCCAGCCCCAACGCACACAATTTAAACATATACGGTTGCTTTTAACACTTTACACAATTCCTATGTACTGGAGCAATAACAAGGTCTAAATACAATTATATTCTTAAACACTGGATCAAGGTTTTACATAAATATACCATCCTACTCCCCACCCCCACCCCCACCCCCCACCCCCCATGGAAGTTTCTAAAATATCACATAACTTTCTTCAACATCTGCAGTGTTGTAGGGACAAATGAGGCAAGGCACCAAAGACAGCAGGAAAGAGTTTTATTTGGCTGCAGCCAGGTTCAGAGGGCACAGCTTTTGCTGAGATCAATTAATCCCCTGAACCCCGAGTTCAGGGAGTTTCAGAGTTTTATACCCAGTGTGTAAGGGGAGGGGCTCAGAAGTTCACAGTCTGCAAAAGTTCACATAAAAGCAGCTTTTTCTTTCACTGTTTTGGGCAAGTTAACTCTTCAAGGACAACACCTGAGAAGGGGAGAGCTTCTTCTCCCCTTTCTTTCTTCCCCCTGCCAGCTGTTACCATGGAGCCCAATTGTAAATTATCTTAAAAATATAGACATCTCTGTGAAGCCCAGCTCAAGGCCAGAGGCCTTGTTTGCACATTTCTTCAAAGTACTATACTGGATATGTTTGTGAAAAACTAGTAAGGGGGTGTTCAGCACCTGGAGTGCTGGTATCTTCTCTTCTCTGCCAGTAGCCAAGTAAACAGGGCCACATGAAAACAGGAAGTTTATCTACAATGTACTCTTTTGCAGAGACTCTTTTGTTGACAGTCCTAAAATCAGCCATGGAGAAGAGGGCTTTTCTGTGGAGAAAGGGGGTGCCACTTCAATAGGATGAGGGCAGTGCTGCATCAACTGGCTCCATGCAGGAGGAGCATGTGAAGGATCTCATCAACCAGTCATCTATACAGTCCAAGTGATGTGCATGCGTAGCAGAAATCGAATTGGGTCCCCATAAACAAAAGTCCATCATACAGATCACACACTCCTGGATCTTTTTTTCTGATCCATCTCTTCCAGGGTCATAAACTCCTTTAAGCAGATGCTATATAAGGCCTATTCATTGAGCTATCCTAATTTGTTCCTCTTCAGTCAACTAAGTTGCTAGCCGAGTCTGGCTAGGTGTTGGATAATAAACTGGAACTGGAACTTTTTCCTGATATGACGGCAGCAGCGGCTCCTGATCTGGCTGTGTCCCCTCGCCAAAGCTAGCCTGGTCGGACTGAGACTCCTGAAGCTGGAAGATGTCATCCGAGGTGGGGGATTTGAGGCAGTTCCTCATCTTCTGTGGCTGGGGCGTGTGATCTTTGCACCGTTGTGACGGTCTTCTTTCTCCCTGTTATTTGAGTTGGTTTTCTGGGAGACACTTGATCATATTGTCCTTTAGTACCTAACAAGATTGTTTAACATTATCCAAACAAATATCTTTTGTTTTTCTCACTTGGGGAAAAGATGAAGCTGAGAAACTATGACTTCTAAGAAAATCAAAGTAATATTGGTGGACTTTTTTCCAAAAAGAAAAAATACACACAATACATCAAATACTACATATAATACTTACAGAAGAATTTTCCTAACAGTTTTTTTACTGTAGTTATGTGTAACTTGCCATTTAACATTGCCATTAATGAGGGACCTAGCCAATTAACCTGACTTAAAAAGATTTTGAGAATTATAATTTGATTATGTATCACCTGTGTCTTGGCGGAGTTAATAACAGAACAACTTTTCCTTTAAAGTACTTTTGCCTTTATGTGGTTACAGGTTGTGGAAGAGAAGATAAGCAGACAACAAAAATTTTGTGTTATGTTTGTTTCAGGAAATCAATAGAATCACTTATTATTAAACTCTGCTCAGGTAGGAAGTTGAACAGATCAAATCACTTGTCTTAACCGCCAGAATTACACAGTTTTATTCAGTGCTAATAAACACCACAAAAAATCAAACTAGAGTCACTTCTGCTGATTAAATTACGATTGTGAATTTTATGAAACTTCATTAACTTTCTTATGGACCTTTATTTTATGAATTCATGAAATTATTTAAAATAATGTTTCACCAAACACAAAACACCAATCATAAAAATCCCCAACTGGCCTGTCTCTACAATGGATATTTCATGGTAATTTTTAAGTTCTATAGTATTATAGAAATTAAATATAAAGGCATTTCTTAGCTATACGCAGTTTAATAAGAAATTATAGATTTGGCAAAATTCTTTTTTATTTTTAACCTCTGTTAGTTGGTTTTCTGTCACTGTGACAAAATACCTGAGGTTAAACTACTTAAAAGGAGGAAAAAGCCAGGTATGGTGGTGCATACCTGTAATCTCAGCAATTTGGAAGGCTGAAGCAGGAAGATATAACAAGTTCAAGGCCAGCCTGGGCAACTTAGGGAAAGCCTTGCTCAAATTTACAAAGGGCCGCGTGTGTGACTCAGTGGTAGAGGACATCCAGGTTCAAAACAAAAGGAAGAACTGTTTATTTTTGGCTTACAGTTTCAATTTATGGCTTATTGGCCCTGTTGCTTTAAGCCTGTGGGAAGGTAGAACATTGTGATGAGCAACACATGGCAGAGGAGGTCATTTCACCTTACAATAGCCAGGAAGCAGAGAGATGGAAAAGGGGGTAAGGCAGGGGAGGGAGAGGGAGAGGAGAGGCTGATGTTCAAATATCCCCTCAAGGAAATGCTCCCAATGACCTAACTTTCTTCCATTAGGCCACACTACTAAAACTTTCAACATCTCAGTAGCATCATAGGCTGGCAATCCAGATTTAACACATAAGCCTTTGGGAGAACATTTAAGTTCAAACCATAATATAATCCAACAAGTTCAGTGAGGTTTTTCTGGAGATACTTCTAAGATTACATCATCAAATATAAGGGAAATTTTTTATTTAAGATGTGTTTATTTTTGTATGATGAAGCATATATCACCTGGCAGTGTGGCCCACACCTATAATCCCAGCGGCTCAAGAGGCTGAGGCAAGAGGATCCTGAGTTCAAAGCTAGCCTTAGCAAAAGCGAGATGCTAAGCAACTCTGTCTCTAAATAAAATATAAAATAGTGCTGGGATGTAGCTCAATGGTCAAGTGCCCCTGAGTTCAATCCCCAGTACTCTCTCTCCCCCAAAAAGAAAACATACATCTATTTTTACTTTATTAGGAATCTCCTCTTTTAATAAGAAATGCATACTGAGTTTTATTAAATAACATTGTAGCATTTATGAACATCATATGATTTTTATTAGCCTATTAATATGATTCCTTAAAGTTATAAATTTTCTGATATTTAACTAAGGGTTAAGTTTATTAGATTTATTTGTAGAATTCTGATAGTTTAAAACAATCACTGGTCACATAATTTTCTTTTTTGAAATTCAGAGATCTTGCTGTTGAGGGCAGACAGGAAGAGCATCATCATTACAAGAAGATAAGAAATATAAATCTTATGTTTGGTGACATGATTTGCAGTGCAGTTGTGTCTCTACTTATGATATTGGGGGGGGGGGGGGTCTTTTTTTGCATATCCAGTGAATAGACCTTGTTTAAGTCAGCTTTTTCACTTCTGCAACTAAAAGACCTGACCAGAATAATTTTAGAGGAGGAAAAGGTTGTTTAAGGGCTAACATTTTCAGAGGTCTCAACCCATAAACAGCAGACTCCATTCCTCAGGGCTCAAGGCGAGAGTGAACATCATGGAGAAAAGTGTGATGGAGGGAAGCAGCTTACATGATGAGCAGAAAGCAGAGAGTGGGGGTGGGGTGGAGGGCGGAACTGACTCTACCCACCAGATACAAAATATATACTGCAAAGCCAGGCACCCCAATACCCTACCTCTTCCAGCCACATCCTACATGCCTTCAGTTACCTAATTTTTATTAGGGGTTTAATTCACTGCTTGAGTTAAGGCTCTCAGAACCCAATCATTTCTCCTCCAAATCTTGCATTGTCTCACATGTGAGCTTTTGGGGACACCTCACATCCAAACCTGATGGCACCATAAAGATCACTGTAGTTTATAAAAATGAGAATAATTCTGGAAAATGAAAATCTTAAATTAGAATTATTAGCAATGACTATTCTGTCCTGGTAAAAATGGCATTTTATCTACACTTGCCCCTCCCAAAAGTTGCAGACAGACTAATTAACATGCACACTTTGCTAGTTTGGTGACTTGCACCTGTAGTTCTAGTTCTTTGAAAGGCTGAGATATAATCATCACTTGTGTCCAGGAGTTCAAGACCAGCCTGGAGAACATAAAGATTCAGGCTAAAAAATAAATTAATTAAAATGAATTAATGGACTGGGGATGTAGCTCAGTGGTAGAACCCTTGCTTACTTTGTGCAAGACCCTAGGTTCAGCCCCTCACACTGAAAAAAAAAAATGTATTGTACACCCTGAATTTTAAAAACTCTATTTAAGAATTTTGATTTTCATAGGCTTTTCAATTCAATGCCAATGATCTCAGCCTTGACAAATTAGCCATGGAAGGGGAGTTTGAGAGGGAGAGTAAGATACACTTACTTCCTTTTGAAATGTAAAATTTTGTTATGTTTATCCTTTAAATAATTGGGGGGCAATCCCTTCTTTAGAGATAAAAATGAAATCAATGAATAAGTTTTCCCTTAAAGAAGGAATTCACATAAAATATTTACTGAAATTGTTAGCCTAACAAAAAAATTAAGTTAAATATATTTAACTTTTAAAAGATACTTTCAAGTATCTGATGCCCAAGGATAAAAATATAACTTTCTTCATGATAATGAACCTGCTATTTTTCTTGTCATGGAACTACGTCGTGGTACAATGGTTCCTTTAATATTTAACGATGTTTCAAAATTTCTATCAACTGATCAATTAAATAGAAAAGTTTGTTCAGATTTTTTTTAAGGATTCATTTTATTCAAAGACTATAAACCAGTTTGTGACAAGATGGGAAAGAGGAACTATTTCTATTCTCTGCTATAGAATCTATTTTGGTAAAATAATATTATATAGATTTTTTTTTCCTCTCTGAAACCTACATTCAAGGGATTTTTTTATGACTCTTTCCTAAAATAACAGTCACTTTTTTTAATCACTTCAAACCTTTCAATTCAAATATCTTAATTGTTCAATTTCACTTTCAAAATATTTTGACACTAATTATTGTCATTGATGATTTTTTTGTAATTGGGAAGAAATGTGAAGTGTGAGCTTGTTTTATTTATTTAAGTGAGCAAAGTGGAAATGTTGGCTATTTGTGCTAACATTCAACTGAGCTGGCCCATTGCGAAACTAAAATAAGTTCGCGCTTTAAAATGAAAACAGGTACAGCAAAAACAGAATATCAACATAAGCTCACATTCCACTCTCCTCTTTGATGAGCAGGGATGCTTTAAAATCTCTCTAGCGAGGCCGACGCAGGACACCACAGAGTCAAGGTCCTCCAACGATCCTAGAGTGGAGAGGAAAGTGCGCCGGGGAGCTAAAGCTGACATTCTGAAAAGCTTAGCAACGTTTTCCAGAGCTTTTGGCTACCTCTGCGGGCCCTTGGTCGGTGAGTGGTGATTGGGCTCGGGTTAGGGCAGAATTGTGGCATGGAGGTTTTAAGAATGGCCAACTCTAGATGGATGCAGAGAAGCCTTCCCCGATGGAGTTGCTGAGAATTGGAAGCTGGATACGTGGCGGCAGGTATCAACACTGAGGCCTATGAGAGGACTAGTTAACGGTCATAACCTTCGGTATATTTTTCTTGCATTGAGCGCAATTTTAGATAAGTAGTAAAGGTGGGCCTCACTTGGAAGATAATCTTTGAGTAGAAATCTGAGAAGGAACAGCAAGCTCAAAGGCCTAAAGCTGGAACTTGTTTGGCATATTTGGGGAATAACAGGGAAACCAGAATGGTTGGAGCACAGTGAATAAGGATGACATTTAAAGGAATGATGGATTAGGTAGAGGAAGGTGTGGAAAAAATGGGCATCGAATGTATAAAAAATTTGGTCTTTTCTTGGTGATTTTGGAGATAAAGCAGAGGAAAAATGTGAATTATTATTATTGTGTGTGTGTGTGTGTGTAGGGGGTGGTTAAGTACCCAAAACAATCTGACATGTTTTAAAGCTTCTCTAGCTGGGAACTCATGATGAGAATAGATTGTAGACGGGCAAGAGTATAATCAGGAAACAACATTTAGGAGTATTAAAAAAAAAAAAGCTTGGGGCTGGGGATGTGGCTCAAGCCGTAGCGCGCTAGCCTGGCATGCGTGCGGCCCGGGTTCGATCCTCAGCACCACATACAAACAAAGATGTTGTGTCCTCCAAAAAATAAAAATAAATAAATATTTAAAAATTCTCTCTCTCTCTCTCTCTCTTAAAAAAAAAAAAACTTGCAAATATGTCAAGTTTTTCATTAAAAAAAAAAACTTGCAAATAATTCAAGTGGGAGATAAAGATAGTTTTGGACCAGTATTGTGGTAGATGTGGTTAATAGTGGTCAGATTATTTGTCTGCATTGAAAGTAAAGTCAGTAATATTTGCTACTGGATCAAATGTAGGGTATAAATATAAGAGAAGGCAAAGGTTGTTGTACTGTGGATGCAAGGGAAATTAGAGGAAATCTGAGGTTCAGCTTTGGGACCTTATGTAAATTCTTCACCTCTTCATGTCTCAGTTTCCTTCTCTATACAGCGAGGTTGTAAAGTTGGCTATGGCCACTCAAGCCTGTAATCCCAGCAGTTCTATAGGTCAAGGCAGAAGGATTTTGAGATCAGCCTCAGCAAGACTTAGTCTCAAAATAAATAAAATAAAAAGAGCTAGAGATATAGCTCAGTGGTGGAGTGCCCTTGGGTTCAATACCCAATACCAAAAGAGGGTGAGGGAAGAGAGCAAAGAAGTTACTTTTTATAAGTTTATGTGAGGATTAAGTGAATGAATAAATAGGAAGCAGATAGAATAGCTATATAGGCTAGGCAGTAGGAGTAGGATATATAAGGACCTAGGAGCAAGAAAGAGTATTGCAAGCTTGAAGAACTAATTCATAAGCAAAGTAGGTCATAAGAAAAGTTAAAGCACATTAAATATTTTGAACTTGATCTTAAGAGTAATGATGAGCCATTAGATGTAACAGACATAGACACAATACAGACACAATATTTCATATCCTTCTTAGAAAGATCACTAATGGCAATGTAGAAAATAGATTGGTGTAGCAGAAAGACTAGTTGTAGTAATCTGAGTAAGAGAAGGTGGTGGCAAAGGGGGATAATGAGAAGGGGTTGGATTTGAGGGATATCTAAGCAATAGAATCAGTAAAACTTAATCAGATACATGAACTATAAAAGGAGGAGAGAGCAGCCAGTTTTCTGACTCAAATAGCTAGGTAGATGGAACTCTCCCCCAAAACAGGTTGTTAATTACTGATTATGTATTATGCTGATATATTTAATTAATCATAAAAATCAACCATATCATACACAATATACCTGTATTGGTCAGGGTTTTCTAGAGAAACAGAACTAATATCTATATTGAACAATCAGTAGATAGATATATAGAAATAGAGTTGTTATAGTTGGGTGTAGTGGTACATGACTGTAAATCAGCTGTTCAGGAGACTGAGGCAAGAAGATCTCAAGTTCAAGACCAGCCTGAGCAACTTACTGAAACCTGCCTCAGAATAAAAAAGGGAATGGGGATGTAGCTCAGTGGTAGAGTACCATTGGGTTCAACCCCCAGTACCACCCCCACAAAAAAAGACAGAGATTTATAATAAAGAATTAGTTTACATGATTATAGAATCTTCCAAGTCCTTCAGGGTGAATCAGCAACTTGGAGACCCAGAAGAAAAATGTTTTAGTTCTAGTCCAAGTCAAAAACCTGAGAATCAGGGTGGGGTAATGGCTCAGTGGCAGATCTCTTGTCTAGCTCCTATGAGGCACTGGGTTTGATCCTCAGTACCACATAAAAATAAAGGTATTTTGTCTATCTACAACTAAAAAGCTAAACAAACAAACAAACAAACAAAAACACCTGAGAGTGTAGTTCTAGCCTGAAGGCCAGAAGGCTTTAGACCCAGGAAGAGCTAAGAGATGTTTCAGTTCCAGTCTGAAGTCAGAGGGAAAAGATAATATTTCAGTGTGAATACTATTAATAGTAAATATTCTTTCTAACTTGGGAAAGGGTCTACTTTTTTGTTCTAGCCAGATTTTAACTGATTATATGAGGCCTACCACATTATGAAGGGCAATTTGTTTTACTCAGTTTGCAGTCTACCAATTTAAATATTAAACTCATGCAAAAACACTCACAGAAACATCCAGAATAATGTTTGACCAAATATCTGGGCATCCTGTGGCTCAGAGTTGACCCAAAATTAGCTATTATAATACCAAACTCATATTTTCTGGCTAATAATAATCATTTTTCATTATTTTCTCATTTAACCTGAAATCTCTGTGAATTAGGTATCATCTTCATTTTACAAATAAGTTAACTAAGTCTCTAGGAAGATAAGGGGACATGGCTTGTAAGTGACAGGGCTGAATTAGAATCCAGGCATAAGACATAGGTTTTTTCTTTTTTTTATCTTTTCCTTTTTTTTTTGGGGGGGGGGGGGTGGTAGTTCTGGGAATTGAACCCAGGGTACTTTACCACTAACATACATCCCTAGTCCATTTAATTTTTTGTTTTGATATAGAGTTTCACTTAGTTGCTGAGGGTCTTGCTAAGTTCTTGAATTTGCCATCCTCCTGTCTCAGCCTCCTGAGTTGCTGGAATTACAGCGTGCCCCACTGGGTCCAGTGGCATAGGTTCTTGCTATCAGACCATATTTACAGAAATAGACCTTATTGTCCCTCTAGATACTCTTTATTTTCACTTTTCTTCTTACATATAAATGTTTCCCAGGGTTCCAGCTCCCCATAATCTTTCTGTAGCCATTATAACTACTGTGCTGAAGGCCAACAACTCTATGTTGACTTCTCTCTGTCTGAAAACCCTTTCCTTGTTTCCTTGTCTAACTTTCACTCATCTCCATGAAGCCTTTTCTGACCTGTTACTGAGATTTAGGTACTTTACCATTTTGCTCTTCTAGCATCCTATGCATGCCTTCATCAAGACACTTAATCCACTGAACTATAATTGCTTCTTTATAGTAAACAGTTAATAACATTTAAGATTTATTGAACCAGGTGCAATGGCACATGCCTATAATTACATCTACTTGGGATGCTAAAGTAGGATCACAATTTCATGGCCAACCGCATCCATTTAGCAATATCCTGTCTCAAAAATTAAAAAGTGCTAGGGATGTAGCTCAGTGGAAGAATGACCCTGGGTTCAATCCTCAGTACTGGGAGAAAAAAAAATACATATATATATATATATATATAGAGAGAGAGAGAGAGAGAGAGAGAGAAATAGAGAGCAGGGCTTGGGATATAGCTCAATGGTAGAACACTTGCCTAGCATGCAAAAGGCCCTGGGTTCAATCTTCAATACCACAAAAAGAAAAGAAACAGAGCAGTAGAGGTTCAAGGAGTTGTCCTTTATTTCTTCAGCGCTTAAGAGACTGGCACATAACAAGCCATCAGTAATGATTTATGAATATTCTGACACTGGATTTAATGAACATATAACCAGTAATAATTATTTATTTATTTACATTAAAATATTTTTTTAGTTGTAGATGGACACAATACCTTTGTTTATTTATTTTTATGTGGTGCTGAGGATCGAACCCAGTCCTTCATGTGTGTGAGGCAAGCACTCTACCACTGAGCTATAGCCCCAATCCCTACTTATTTTTTCTGTATCTTTTACCAAGCCCATTTTTTTACTTGTTTTTATGAGACAAGGTCTTGCTAAGTTGCGGAGGGCCCCACCAAATTGCTGAGAGTGGCCTTGAACTTTCAGTCTTCTACCTTGGACTTCCAAGTCATTGGGATTACAGAGCCACCACACTTGGCTCTCTCTCATCATTTTGAGAATTTTCAAATCCTTCAGAAATATTGAAAGAATAATACATGTAATGTCTTTGTGTACCAGCAGTTGTCAATTTCCTATTACATTTGTGTGTTCTTACTCTTTGCACACACACATTTGAAAGTTTCAGCATTCATTTTCTGCTAATAAGACTATTGTTTTTTTGTGACCATGAACTATCATACCAGCTAAGAAAGTTCTGTGTCAGGGGTTAATAACCATTATCTAGCTGGGGATGTAGCTCAACAGCAGAGCACTTACCTACCATGTGCTAGGGCCTGACTTTGATCCCTTTGATCCCCAGCACTTGCAAAAAATAAATAAATAAATAAAGATTGGGCATAACCATTGTTTATAAAGGATTAGATAGTAAACATTTTCAGCTTTACAGGTGATACCCTTTGTGGCAGCTGCTCAACTCTGCCATTGTATTGGGAAAGCAGATATAAACAATATCTAAACAAATGGATGTAGCAGTATTATAATAAAGGAATCCAAAATAAGGTAATAAGGTCCAGGCTTTACTTGGTTTTCTGGGCTATAGTTTGCCTACCCCATTCTAATATTTCATTCACATTTGGACTTCTGAATTTTTCAAAAAAAAATTTGTAGCTTTTTAAAATTATTATTTCACACATTGCATTTAGTGCTCTCCTTAATGTAGAATAATAACCTCCCAATACCTTCCTTTTATTTTTGAGCCCATGCCTGTTATAAATGAGCTGCAGTCTGGATTTATCTCAAAGTTTTCATTATTAGATTCATGGTAAACATTTTTAGTAGAAATGCTGTATAGATGATAAAGCACTATTGTTGTTGCTAAGTTTGATCATTCGGTAAATTTGTAACTGCCAAATATCTCCATTTTCTCCTTTGTAACTAAGTAGCCATTGGTTTGGGGTTTTTTTGAGACTGAGAATGTCTATTGTCACACTCCTTTCACCTAGTGGTTTTAGTAGTCCTTGATTGAATAATTCATTTTGAGGGCTGCAAAAATGGTGATTTTTCAAATCTATTATTTCTGCCATGTTAGATGGCAATCTTCTATAAAACAATGTTTTCTCATTTTATTTATGTGCTTAGGAATGGTTACTTTAGGAAAAAAACAAATAAATAGTAGAAAGCTTATAATCCAAGAAGAATTGATATTGTTATTATTGTTATACTAACATTACTACTTCTGTGATTCTTGTTATTATATTCTTAGGAGTACTCCTGAGAATACAGTCAAAAGAAAGTTCTCCAAAACAGAGCAGTCTGAAATTGGGGATGGCAACTGCATTGGTGAGTGCTCATTCCATTTCTCCTCTGAATCTGAAGAAGAAGAAACTTTGGGTAATGAAGGAGGATTGATATGTTACCAGAGTCCTAGATTCTCTGGGCCCCAGTAGACCAGATGCAGATACCCAGTGTCTCAAGAATACAATCAAAGAGAAAAAGTGGTGATGAAGCAAGAAAGAAATTTATTAATCAGTATGGTTACACTGAGGAAAAAACAAGCGGATGAGCATCCTAAACCTTGTCTTCTGGGTTCTGACAAGAGCTTCAGGAATATATAGGAGAAAGACAAAAAGTGGTAGCAAGAAGTCTTAGTCAAAGTGTAGTTTGGTTGACCATTATATCAGATCTGGTTCTGCGAGGTCCTGCTGGCTCTAGGAAAATAGTTATTACTTGAGGAGGCAATTTGGTTCCCATGATGACACAATTGTTCCCATGTAGTGGAGCATCCTTGATCCCATCATGGGGTGATCTGCCTGCAGATCCTAAAATTCTTGAAAATATCTTAAGGCTTGAAAGGCTGAAATAAGAGAGGTTGAGTAAATGTAGAGTTAATGAATATTACATTACCAATATTTAAAAAGACACTTCTTTATTAACATGTCTATATGCAGAGTTGAGCAGAAATCTGACCCAAAGTTTAAGGTAGCAAAGGAAATAGCTGTAGGACCAAGTGAAGAGTCAATACTTTTAGTAAAAGCAGCCTTTAAGTCCCTGTTATAAGTACTCTACTTGAAAACAAGGATTCAAGCTGTAAGGAAATAGGAAAGGCCTTGGACAGAGCCATTTACAAATAATTCAGGCAGTTGTGTAATGAAGAAATCACAGAACTTGAGAGACTTTGAGCCATCTCTGCAACATCTGCCAATAGTGGCTGAGCCTGAGACGAAGAACAGACCCTGGAGCTGCTGGTGCTCCAGCAATTCCCAGCCATCCTGCTCAAGGAGTCCCAGGACTGAGTGCAGGACCATTGGCCAGAGAGTAGGGAGGACTTGGTTGTTGTATTGGAGCATTTGTAGCAGGAGAAACAGGACAAGAGGAGATAGAAATCAGATGTGCTCTTTTGCAGGAAAACTAGAATTAAGCCTCTCCCCAGACAGCTGGGTGTGAGCACAGTTCAGTTTCTTTCCTGTCTGGGTATTCATCTTTATAGGTCTTAACATCAGCCTTACTTGATCCCTACTGGAAGGAAACTGAATGTGCTCTAGATTTCCCTCCCATATTCTTTGCCACTTTGGGGTTTCTTTTTTCTATCTTTGAAGTGTTTTTGCAACAAGTTTCCTAAATCTACATGTACTTAATTATCTCTACATGTACCTAATTATCTGTAAAACCCAAACCAGGCAAAGAAATAAAAAATGTTTGTGGAAGAAGCAGCCCCTCTGAAAAGAGGGCAAGAACAGCAGGTCCTATCCAAGTGTGACATTCAAAAACCTGAGAAAGAGAAGGGTAAGAACTAAATTGCATGTTTTTGCTTATGAGGTGAGAGAGGCTGTGCACTTCCCGTTGAGGCCCTACCAGCAACGTTGGTGTTTTGTTTGTTTTTGTTTAAAACCTTTATTTTATTTATTTATTTATTTATTTTTATGTGGTGCTGAGGATCGAACCCATTGCCTCTCATGTGCTAGGTGAGCGCTCTTCCGCTGAGCCACAACCCCAGCCCCAACCTTGGTGTTTTGTGTTTTGTTTTCGAGTTAGACTTATTGAGGTATAACTTACATCAGTAGAATTCACTGTAATTCTACCAATCAGTGAATTTTCACAAACATGAGAAAAGTATAGTCTTCTAATCAGCACCACAATCAAGATATAAAAAATACTCATCACTCTAGGCATTTTAGTTGAATAAAACACCCCAAAAGGTGAATCTGGACCTTCATCTTGCTCTTCTTCCCTTTTACTATAGGAATGAATTTTAGAAGTAGTACAGTTTTCCACTGAAGGCAAAGAATCTCGGCCACATGTTTCATTACTTTTTTTCTCCCTTTCTTTTGCTACTATTTGAGGATTGATCCCAGGGATGTTCTACCACTGAGCTACATTCCCAGGGGTTTTTTTATTTTTTGAGACAGTTGTTGAGGATCTTGCTAAATTTCTGAGGGTGGCTTCAAATTTGCAATCCTCCTTCCTCAGCCTCCTTTGTTTCTGGGATTATAGGCTTGCACCACTACACCCAACTCATTTTTTCTTATCTCCTTCAAATTATTGTAAATAGCAACTGTCTTTTTTTAATACTTTTTTACTATCAATGGATCTTTATTTTATTTTTTTTATATGCAGTACTGAGAATCGAACCCAGTGCCTCATACATGCTAGGCAAGTGCTCTAACCCCAGCCCAAATAGCAATTATCTTTTATTTCTTAATGTCACCTGGATTTTTCTATTCTACTCTTAATTTCTTTGTTACTAAAATCCCTCTTTTTCTGTTTCTTACATTTTTCTTTTCTTCTTTTTAGTCTGATATAATCCCTGCTTCTTTCTCTCTCTCTTCCTCCCTTCCATTGAAACTACCTTCTGCTCATACTTCATTATTTGAATACAAATTCATTAATGTTTCTCTTTTCCTTAAAACCTTTGTCTGTATGTATGGTACTTAGAATTGGGTACTCTACCAGTGAGCTATATCCCCAAACCTTTTTATTTTTTATTTTGAGACAGTGCCTTGCTAAGTTACTCAGGCTGGTCTCAAACTTGCAGTCCTCCTACCTTAGCCTCCCAAATTGCTGGGATTACCATTGTGTGCCACCATGCCTGGCTTAAAAACCTTTTAATAAGCTGAATAATATCATTTTTCTATAAAATTTTATAATAAAAAATTAAAATAAGATAAAAATCACTACCTTAACTCCCAGTTTCATTAACAAAGGCCTCACATGGCCTGTTATCAGTCTTATGTTCACTAGAATAACCAGTTTGTCCCAGTTTTTTTGAGACTTTTAGCAGTGACAGTTACACATCCTAAGAAATCCCTCAGTCCTAAATTGGGACAATTAGTTGCCTTTTGTCCCACCTACTCATATTGTATTTTTCTATCATGCCAGGCAATGTTCCATTTCCTACTTTCTCCTTGCGGTTTCTCTCTTTTGAACCTTTTTTGCCTTGTTTTTTTTTTTTTTTTTATCTGGAACAATTTTTTTCCTGCTCTCCCTGACTACTTCCTACTCATCCTTCAAGATATATCTTAGATATCACTTCCCCAAGTCTGGGTTAGTTTCCCCAGTTATGCTTCCAGAGCAGCAAGGTTTCTCATGTCATAGAATAGATGATATTCCATTATAGTTTCTGGTCTACTTCTTTTTTTTTCTTGCCAGACTAAAAGGGCAGGGACTTTATTTGTGGCATTTTGTTTTGTTTTTCTTTGAGTCACCGTCCTTGAGTAGACAATCAATAAATGTCTATTGCTGAATGACTGATTTTCTTTCTTTCTTTTTAAATTTTTTTTTTTTTTTTTTTATTTTTAGTTGGACAAAATAATTTTTTTTTTTTTTCATGTGGTACTGAAGATTGAACCCAGTGCCTCATGCGTGGTAGGCAGGCACTCTAACACTGAGCTATAGCCCCAGCTTGGCTGATTTTATTTCTAAAGTCATCCTTTACTTATTGCCCACTAGGCTGTTCAGTTTGAGTCTGCTTCAAATTCCCTTTCTTCTGAGAGTCTCCTGAGTAAATTAGCTGAAAGAAAGGGGCCTATCATTTTCTGAATGACTTTGAAGAAATGAACTTATAAACAATGACAGGTATATATTTTAAAACAAAAAGTGAATGTAATGATAATAAATTCCTGAGAATGTTCCTTATCCTCTGGATCTGTTGAAATGTTATTTTATATTCAAAGTTCCGGATATTTTTTGTTTTAATCCCCCTCCTTCCTTTTAGTTATACATATCATGTTATTGTTGAAAAAGAATCTCCTCTGTTTCCTTCCCTTCCTTCTCTTAGTCTTTCACTTCTTCATCCTATGTAGATTACTTCATTCTATTAAAAAGAGCTTTAATCCACAGTGTAGTCCATTATTTATTATATTATTTAATATCTCCACTCCTCACATGTGACTACTTTCTCTGATGCCTTCTTACTAATCCCTTCATGTTCACTTTTACTTTTGGCTCCCATCTCTTCTCTACTTTTTAATATCTGCTACCTTTCATTTGATCACACTGATTAACCTTCAGGTGTTTTTTAGAGCTGCTTAGGGTCTCACTCTTCTATTTTGTCTATCCATTACCCCATTCTTACTTTGCATGTCTATTCATATTCCAGGCCTTAAAAGCCATTTTCCCATCATCCTTCACATCCTTCTGCCTGTGTGTTTGAACATAGGTTTTCCTTCATCTTCACATAATTTCAGCCTTACGACTCAAATCTATATTCATAAAACATTTTTCTAAAAAAAAATACCACTTGTTTAGTGTCTGCTATGTACCAGGCACTGTGCTAGTCTCTTGAACTATTGGGGTTGGGGTGGAGGAAATAGTCATATGAAATTATAAAAAGTCATATGAGATATAAAAAGTCTGTTGAACCTATATAGGAAACCAGTTACTGCTGTCCACGAAGATTAGGATTTTCATGAACACATTACCCTCAAGTTTTTATGGTTCAATGGTTTTTGATTTATTGATAAGGATACTGAGCCCAGAGGACTTAAATTACTTTATAAAATTGTGTAGCTAGTTGGCATCACATCTACATTTCTTCATTTTCACTTAAAGTGCCATCCCTTTCTTATTGGCCTGAGGAACCGCAATTGAGCTAGTTTCCCCCCCCCCCCCCATGTAATGAAACATTTTCAAGACTGTACAGTCAAAAACAATTGGTTTGCTTGTTTTCTAGCTTCTCTGTGTGTGGTGTGTATCACATGATAAAACTTAAGCCATTGAAAAGAAGTCATCCTTCACCGCAACCCTCTATCCTTCCCTGAAGGTCACTATTAACAATTTCTTATATATCATTCTATGTACTTTATACAAACACAAGCAACCACAGCATTTTTACTTTGCACACATGGCTTGATTTCATTTTTTTTTTCTCCTAGTTGCAGATTCCTTTTCCCAAGCACCAAAAAACAGGTAATTAGTGATATATATTTAATGTTTCAGGTGAAGAGACAAGGATTAAGAACGGGAATCTTGTTTTAGTGACCAACTCTTGTGGAAAAGTGGAATCATCTAGGAAAATTTCTGAACCTATAGAAGCTCTTTATGAAGACTCTGATTTGGGAAGGGAGCAGGCTAAGCCCAAGGAGAAGACTGACTATAAATGCTGAGAATGTAGGGAGGGAATTATCCAGCATTCAGACCTGATTGAACATGGACTTGTACCCATGGGAGAAAAGCTCAGTGAATCTGAAGGCTGTCAGAGTTCTACTCTTACTGGACATCAGAAAATTCTTTCTAGAGAGAAAGGTCATCAGTGCCATGAATGTGGGAAAGTCTTTCAGAGAAGCTCACATCTTGTCAGACATCAGAAAATCCATCTTGGTGAGAAGCCATATCAGTGCAAAGAGTGTAGAAAAGTCTTCAGCCAGAATGCAGGCCTTTTGGAACATCTCAGAATCCATACTGGAGAGAAACCTTATCTATGTATCCATTGTGGAAAGAACTTTAGGCGTAGCTCTCACCTTAATCGACACCAGAGAATTCATAGTCAGGAGGAACCTTGTGAATGCAAGGAGTGTGGAAAAACATTTAGTCAGGCCTTGCTCCTCACCCACCATCAGAGAATCCACAGTCATTCCAAAAGCCATCAGTGTAATGAGTGTGGGAAAACCTTCAGTTTGACCTCAGACCTTATTCGACATCATAGGATTCACACTGGAGAAAAACCTTTCAAGTGTAATGTATGCCAGAAAGCATTCCGACTTAACTCACACCTCAATCAGCACATAAGAATCCACAACGAAGAAAAGCCCTATGAGTGTAATGAATGTGGAGAAGCCTTCAGACAGAAGTCAGGTCTCTTTCAGCATCAGAGACACCACCACAAAGGCAAACTGGCTTGATGAGGTGTTCTCTTCCTGTAGAACGTCAGAAAGTATACATTGAGAAGCAAACAGCACTTTAGGAAAAGTTATTCTGGCCAACATCAGAATTCTTAGGGATTGAGTTGGAAGCTGTTTGCCTCCATTCTCTGTCCTTTGCTTTCCTTGAAGTTAGTTTTGGAGCCAAATAATTTCACCCTAGACAGTATAGTGAGATCAGAGTTAAATAGCTTTCTTTACTATAAGACTTCTCAGAATTTTTAATGTGTTAATGAATGATTATGGATCTCCAAGAAATAGCCTCATGAATGAGTGAGGTCTTTGAAATTATCAGCAAATATAATGTACACTGATTCATTAGACTTGTGTCAGGGGCAGGTTGATATTTTTTGCAAATGATATAGCAACAGACTCCTATAAAACTCATGATGTCTGGAAGTATACCACTCTCAAAGTTGTCTTAAAGTATGGGTTAATAGTGAATTCTTTTCCCTAACAGGCTCTACCCCTCCCTCCGACTAGCCTTACCTTTATCCCTCCAACTCTACCCCCCATGCACAGAGGAAGCATTTTGGAAAGCAAGGATGATCCTTTCCTGGTTAATAATAGAACTTGCCTTCAGAATTATGTCATTTCATTTTTACATTTTCTATCCCCACCCCAGTATCTCATTAATTCAAGATATTAATCAAAGTTTTACAGTCTGTGGAAGAGATATTACATTTTGAACTGTACTGAATTAATCCAAATAGCAACTGTCTTACTTGGTAACTCCAGTGCCAGTACAGTAACTACTGCATATATACTATTCAATAAATATCCACCGAAAGATATTGGACTTATTCCCTTTAATATTGATGATGCAGTTTTTAAATGTTGCTTGTTTGGGAATTCTTTGAAAGTCAAACAATAAAATCATCTTGGAGAGAAGATTATGATCTTTATATCATGAATAATGAAGTTTCATGATAATGACAAAGAATCTTAAGCTTAGAGTAGTCCATTCCCAAGCATAATAATAGCATCACTAACTGGTCAGTAGTAGCTGCATAAGGTACTGCTCTTTGGAGAAGCTGTCTTAGTTCACCAGTGTGGGAAAATTAGTGAATCCTCACAATGCAATGTCCACTAATATATCCATTGTGGAAAGAACTTTAGGCTCAGCTCTTACCAGACAATTGTTAACACCAGACAATTCAGTCAAGAGGAACCTTGTAAGTGCAAAGAATATAAAAAAACTTTAGTCAGGTCCTGATGTTCACTCACTATCAGAGAAGCCAGTCACTCTAAAAGCCATCAGTGTAATTATGGTTAAATCTAGGTTCAGCCAGGCATGGTGGTGCACACCTGTAATCTCAGCCACTCAGGAGGCTGAGGCAGAAGAATTGCAAGTTCAAAGCCAGCCTCAGCAAAAGCAAGGCACTAAGCAATTCAGTGAGACCCTGTCTCTAAATAAAATACAAAATAGGACTGGGGATATTGCTCAATGGTCCAATGCCCCTGAGTTCAATCCCCAGTACCCCCCCCCCAAAAAAAAACAACAACTAGGTTCAGCTACATAGCTTAAACACACACACACACACAACACACAAATAGTAGTCACAGTAGTGAGTTATTAAAAGTTTTTCTATTTAATATAGAAGAGTCCAGTATTGAAAAAGTAGTTCCACAGTATCACTAGGGTCCTAGATTTCTGCCTTTTGATTCTACCATCCTGGTCCATGTCATCAGTATTTAAGGTCCTTGTTTCATCTCTCTGTGGCTGCTCAAACTCTGGCCATCACATCTAAAATGTGGACAAAAGACAAAAAGAATAAAAAGAGGCTTCTGTCAATTTATTCAGCTTCCTTTGAACAGTCATTCCCAAAACTGCTTAGCACATATGTCTTGATCAAAACTTTGAGGAAAGAAAGCAGAAAAGGGTATTTTTTCTTTTCTGCAGAGTGCTTACTGAATGTTAGGTTTCTTTCATTAAGAACAAAGGAATGAATGTCAGAATAGGCACTTAGCAGTCTTTGGGCCACTTCCTATTTCTTTCCATTCAATCTTACTGAGTGCAAGCTGACCAGAAGCAACAGTTAATACCATTTTCTGGAGGAAGACCAAATAGGGGAAGCAGCTGTAACTTTTTGGAACACAAAAATTTCATGAAAAGTCAGTTGTATTTCCCCCAATTACAATTTTTTTCTTTGTGATGCTGGGGATTGAACTCAGGGCCTCAGATGCTAGGCAAGCCCTCTACATCCTAGTTCCCTAGCTACATCCTTAGTCCCCTCCCCCAATATTTTTAAATGCTATGCTGAGATCAGTAACTAAAAATTTAGCTCCCTGTTATAATTTAAATCTATTTGATTCTGTTCAGTTAAAGAAGAAACGTACATAGAGTATTATGAGAAAGCAATTAAGCCAAGCACAATGGCATACAACTGTAATCCCAGCAATTTGGGAGGCTGAGGCAGGAGGATCGCAAGTTCGAAGCCAGCCTCAGCAACTTAGGCCCTAACTTAGCAAGACTGTCTCAAAATAAAAAGCAGGGAATATAGCTCAGTGGTAAAGTATCCCTGGATTCAATCCCCAGTACCAATAAATAAATAGATAGATAAATAGATAGATAGATAAATAAATATTACTGGGAAGTTTTGACTTTTCTCAATCAGAGCTGTCCCCTGAAAGTCCCCCTCCTCCTTTTATTTTCCTGATTAAAGCTTTGTCTGTATATTTGTGCTTACTTTGACTAATATTCAGTTTTGGCCATCATCAAATCACAAGTCCCCATCTCTAGTATCATTTCCACCATTATAGTTTCATATAGGTTTATTTAGGTAAGCAGATACATATTCAAGGGAGAATTAGTGACCTATGGGATTAAGTAAGGAACACATATTCAAGGGAGAATATGGGCCATATCAAGAGTGAGAGATGTGTTTTGGGGGTTCCAAGAGATGTTACTGGTATCCTAGGCCAAAGGGTAGGGGACCTGACTTCAAGGAGTCTCAACAATCCACAGGGTCTGATAAAAGTAAACATGGTTTTACCATATGATTGATTTAGGATAGGAGGAATAAAAAGTAGAAAGGAGACCTACAGGAAGGACAAGGAAATTAAATTTGACTTCAGAAGTTCTACACACTTTTCCAGGTCTGTCTCTTCCAGGTCTGTTACTCCCAAATTCCTGTAAATCTACCTCTGCACTGTTAATTAACACCCCAATAAATGGGTTAAGCAAAGAAAGATATGATATCATGAGGATCCCAAAATTTGGGGAACTTTACAGTGCTATCTACTGATAAGACAGCGAAGATCATGTTAGTGAGGATCCTGAGATTGAGCAGATCACCAAAAACCATCTTGAGATTGCTGGACTGATTCCTACATAGCTTTCTGATTAAGATAAGATAGATAGATAGTAAAACAAATAGACACTTAAGAAAATGCCCCCCAAAAGAGGCTTCTCCATGAAATTATCCTGTACAAACATTCCAACCAACTGCTTTGTCCTGGGCTGAGGGTTGGGGGACAGACCTGAGTAAAAGCTACAGATTCAAGAGCTAACCAATCAGTGTTTCAGGCTGAACCAATAGCCTTGGCACCTTTCCAATATCCGATTAGCTTGGATATTGATCACTGCTCCTACCCAGTAGCTATATAAACCCTTACAAATCAGTACACTTAATTGGCAACCTGCTATCAGGTAGCTTCTTGCCCAGCAAGAGAGCTCTGCTTCCTTTGTTCTCACTTAAATAAATCATACTCCTTTTAGTCTCATCTTCTGTTTCTGACAATAATCCAGAAAGAAGTCACAGATGGCTGGAGACTGTTGCAATACTGAAGCAGAAGAGGCTGAAAATTCCATTTAAAAAATTTTTTTAGTTGCATATACACATATGCTGAGGATCAAACCCAGTGTCTCACATGTGCTAGGCAAGCACTGCACCACTGAACTACAACCCCTGAAAATTCATTTCATTCCATACCCATGCCTCCCCAAGTTTCCTTTAAAAAAAGAGCTTGGAACCCCCAAAACATATCTCTCACTCTTGATATGGCCCACATTCTCCCTTGAATATGTATTCCTTGCTTAATCCCATAGGTCACTAATTCTCCCTTGAATATGTAGCTGCTTCCATAAATAAACCTCTGTGCCTCTGACTAGCACATGCTGAAATTCTTTTTCATCATGTATTCCATGAACTCCACTGGTCCTAAGTCAATTCCCCCTTTTTCTCCCGGAACTCCTCAAACACTTCTTTAGATTTATCTCTTCTTCTGTGACATGATCACCCTCCTTGGTGACTCAAAGGAGTTAAAAACTTGTGTCCACACAAAAACCTGCGCACAGAATTGCCAAAACTTAAAAGAAAGCAAGGTGGCTTTCAGTAGGTTAATGGATAATTAAAGGGCCTGTTTTTAAGAGGTATTTTATGTTTTTACTATTGGATTAAACATCTTTTTACATGTTGGTTTGGTAGTGGAGTCTCAGAGGCATGACCCTGAAGATCCAATAAATCAGATCTGGCAACTCACCTCAAAAACTAAAAAGGAAAGTTAATGATGAAAAGAGCTTTAATCAGTGTGGCTACATTGGGAAGATGAGGAGACCCGTATACTTAGCCTTGTATTCAAAGGGCTGACAATGAATTTGAGGTTTTATAGAAAGGGAAATAAAGGCAAGAGTTAGGGGATTTGTATAGCTGGAGGCTTCTCACAGTTAACAAAGCAGAGTGTGTTAATCAGGTGTAGTCAGTCTATCATCTCAGGATTGGTCAGGTTGGGCCTTGTCCCAGACAAGAAGTTGCTGTTGCATGGCTGGGAAGGTGACTTTGGCTCATCATGTGATGTTTATAACATCAGACCTTGTTCCTAGGGAGCAAAGTAGATGAATGCAAAATGGAAGCAGAGATGCTTTTAACCATCCATTGGACATTTGCCAGCAAAAGTGAGGAGTCACTCACTGAGCTATATTCGTAGCCCTTTTTAATTTGCATTTTGAAACAGGGTCTCACTAAATTGCCCAAGCTGGCTTCAAACTTGTGCTCCTCTTGCCTCAGCCTCCAAAACTTCTGGAAATACAGGGATGGACCACTGCACTCAGCAAGTCTCCTTTTACTCTTAATTCCCTTAAAAATTAGAAGAAAACTAGGTGGCTTTCAGTAGGTTAATGGATAATTAAAGAGCCTGCTTTTAAAAGGTGTTTTATGTTTTTACTATTGGATTAAACATCCTTTTACATGTTGGTTTGGTAGTGGAGTCTCAGAGGCATGACCCTGAAGATCCAATAAATCTTGAGTTTTCAGTGTACACATAGCTCAGAGACACTGGGTTCGAACATCAGCACCACATAAGTAAATAAAATTAAATAAATAAAGGTATTGTGTCCATCTACAATTTAAAAAATATTCTTAAAAAAATTAAATAGAGAACTATCAAAAAGTGTAAATATATATGCCCTTTGATCAGTTTCAATATGTAGTACCACCCAATAAATATACTCATAAAAGAAAGTAAAGCTATTGAATGACATTCCTTACATCATTGCTTATAAAGAGAAAATTTAACCTACACAGACATCAATAGGGATAAGTTATGGTATACCATACAACAGAATACCATTAGCTATAATAAGTAGATATAGAAAGATCCCCAAGCTATCTTAGCTGAAAAAGAAAAGGTACAAAATTACATTATGGTATCATAAGTGTTCTAAAAGATATGTGCACATTTATTCAGTAAACAAAATGTTCGTTGACTGATACTATATGGTAAGTAGTGTCCTGGGATGATATGTCAAAAATAAATAAATAAATAAAGATAGATACCATTAACCCTGAGTATTGAAACACTTCATTTTGTAGTCTTCATGAACTTGAGTTTTCAGTGTACACATTTTTTTAGTTTCTTTAATTTTTTTTAGTTTCTTCCATTTATCAAATTATAATTGTTTATTGATGAGCGTGGTGGTGCATATGTATAATTCCAGAGACTTTGGAGGCTATGGCAGGAGGAATCACAAATTTGAGACCAGTCTGGGAAATTTAGCAAGACCCAATAAATAAATAAATAGCTGTGGGAAACAACCTTACACGTGACTGAGTCACACTCCCCGGCTGGTTGCTAAGACACTCAGTTGCAGAAATGTGGCAGAGCTTTCCCCACCCTTCTTGGGTCCAAGGGTCAGTGTCTCCTGCATGGGTGTGTCTTGCTAAAGCCCCCTGGGTGAAACTATGCTCACCTGTTCCTTTGTAATATAACCCCTTGCCCTGTTTAGGATAGAATCTTCCATGGAAGTGCCTTGTGTGTGTCCCCTTCTCTTACTATGCCCTTGGGTGTGGCCTACTCAGGTGTCAGTCAACCTGCTGACAGTGGACATCATGAAGATAAACTCAGCCCCCTGAAATTTGACCCCTTGCCTCATTTGAATAGCTTCTCCTCAATAAAAGGGGTCAGCCCATGCTCTCCTGCTCTCTCTCTTCCTGCGGACCCTTAAGGTCAGAGGAGCCATCACAGTGACCCCAAAGAAAAAGGTATTTGTGTCTCTTGTGTGGTTATTTTTGCACAGCCCAGTTAGCCCAGTTTAACTGGAGTGACCCCTGAGCCTTTTAGTCTCCAGAACAGAACCCGGCAAATAGCTACCGACATAACTCAGTGGTAGAGTGCCCCTGAGTTTAATCCCCAGTACTGGAGTGGGGAAAAAAGAAATATAAAAATTTATTGATCACCTCCTCCCCAGCCTGTGCCTGTGAGGAAGCCAAGGACAGATATGGCTTTGCCTTTACCATGCTGTTGGGTTTTTGTTTGGTTTTCTACTGGGGATTGAACAGAAGGGAGCTCTATGGCTGAAGAACATCCCCATCCTTTAAAAATTATTTTGGAACTTGAGACCCAATTGCTTCAATTAGTAGTTGGGATTTCAGGTGAGGGCTACCCCTTCCCCTTATTTGGGGGAGTTTGTGTTGTCTCCCCCCACCCCCGCCGCCTCCGCCCCTTGGTACCTGGGATAGAACATAGGGGCGCTTTACCACTAGGTTACAACCCCAGTCCTTTTTGCCAATGGTCTCGAATTGCTGAGGCTGGCCTTGAAGTTGCGATCCTACAGTCTCAGCCTCCAGAGTAGCAGGGATTTCAGGCCTGTCCCACAGCTTCCCGCTACCGTTGGTTTTTACTTGAAAAGATTTGTGTAAATGTGAGGCATACTAGGGCCAATGGGAAGAGCCCCGAGCCTGGGGTCGAAAAAAGAACCGGCCTGTGTGGGGCAGCAATTGGAAGCCAGGCGTATCAGAGAGATGAGGCGAAGGCTCCTAGAGAGGCATGGAGCCCGGCCGGAAGTCGCGGCAGGCCGCCCAAAGCGGCGAGAGGAAATAACCCTGGCTGGCATCTCTGTCTGCAGGAAGTGTCTCTCAGCCTCCAGCAGGGATAAAGGAAGGACCCCAGAGATTTGCCCGCCTAGCTTGACTCCCCGGCAGGGGCCGGGGCCTGGGAAGACCAACCAGCCCTTCCCTACCGTGGAGCCCCAGGCCTCCATATTCCCGCTGGAGTTCTTCCTGAGGTTCGCCATGTCTTTGTTGTGCTTCTTACCTGAAGTTGTAGTCTGTTAATCAGCAGATACTTATTGAGTGCCTGCTGTGTGCCAGGTACCGTGCTAGTTGCTGGCGTGTGCTGTTAATAGACTAATTTTGGGTCCACCGGAGAGACCTGGCTACTGGCATCAGGACATCCGCATACGTTCATCAAGAAGTCCACCAATATTTGTCAAATACCAGGTACGTACTGAGCACCTAGAGTTTATGCAAAGATAAACCCCTACCCGCAAGGTGCAAGATGGGGCGATCTCTAATACAAGATGGAGAAAGAGGGTGGTGGGTGTAGTTTTCCATGGTTCCACCGCCACCTGTGTGGCTTAGTGGACAAACAGTTTTCCCCTTTCTATGTGAGGTTTGAGGATGTTCACGAAAGTTTTATTCCTGTACATAAGAGATGGCATTTGCACGGGACCTTAGGAATTTACCTTAGAAGAATGATAGTACTTGCTATAAAATACAAAACAGGTGAAAAATTTTGGAGTAAATATCATTTACCACACAGAATTGACAGTAATAGCGATTGAAAATAACAATAAAGTAATAAAGGACAGAGGCATTTTGTATAAAGGATTAACTGGAAGCCTGGGGTGCATGCCTGTAATCCCAGCACTCAGGAGGCTGAGGCAGGAGGATCACAAATTCAAAGCCAGCCTCAGCAAAAGCAACTAAGTAACTCAGTGAGACCCTGTCTCTAAATTAAAATACAAAATAGGGCTGGGAATGTGGCTCAGTGGTTGAGTGCCCTGAATTCAATCCCCAGTACCTGATAACAAACAAACAAAAACCCCAAAGGATTAACTGGACTCAGAGGGATTATTTATAAGGTATTGTTTATTTGTACATGGAAGTTGGTGACACCAATAGAAAGGAGAAATACAGAGTGCAGCTTTGAAGGGCTCTCTGGTTTGGAGTATATTTAAATTATGGGGCAAGTGAATGAAGCCTATTGCTGAAGGTATCCAGCTGACATTTTAAGTGTGGATCTACAGTGTGAAAGGCAACTTGGAGCCAGACAAAGATTTGAGTGTTCTTGGAACAGAGGTATACTGAAATTGAGATTGTAAATGCAGAAAGTGAGGAGACAAGAGAAAAGAACTTGATGCATGTGTACTATTTCAGTTATCTATTGTTGTATAAAAAATAAACTAAAATCCTAACCTTCATGGTTAAAAACAATTTCTCAGGATTCTGTTGGTTGACTGCCACTTCTGCTGGTTTCACTTGCAATTACTCATGTAGCTGCATTCAGCTGGTGAACTATGTGGAAGTAGGCCTAACTGAGCTAATGGGGCTTTAGCTTTGGAGCCTTGGTTCTCATTTACCTTGAGCTTCCTATAGCATGGCAGTATCATGATAGCATGCCAAGAGCTATAGAGGCACTCTTTTACAGTGTCATATCTGCCATATTTCAATAGTCAGAATAAGTCATAGATCAACACATTAAAGACAAGGAAAAAGATTCCACTTAATTATGAGAATAGTGGAAAAATCTAATTACAGAAGGTATTTGGGAATAGGAAAGTTTGGAAACATTCTGTGACACCTACAAGGTAGCATACACTTGTAATCCTAGCTGCCTCAGGAGGATCACAAGTTCAAAGTTAGCATTGGCAACTTAGACCTCATCTTATAATAAAAAAAATAATAGAGCTGGTGATGTAGCTCAGTATTTGAGGGCTCATGAGTTCAACCCCCAGTACCTCAAAAGGAAGAAAATAAGAAAAAAAAGTGGAGTTGTCAGTACACAGAGAAAAATGACCTTTGAGATGCATTGTATGCCCACAAAGCTAGCCATCTTGGTCCTCCCTGGGCAAAATTATCCCTTTTCCCCAGTTGAAGTATAAGCTGTTCCAGCATTGATAACCCTTCTTCCTCATATTCTACATCCCTTACCTCTGGGCTGAACCCCTTTATGTTTGAACCCCTTTATGTTCAAGATATATTTTTTATTGATTTCACTTGTAATAGAGGCAAGCAGGCTCAACTTTTGAGAATGACCTACAATGGGGACAAAGATTTAAGTACATTGCATAAGGTTTTGAATCTCTTGTAATTCGTATGTTTCTGATCAATTCTTATATTTAGATGTACATTTGGGAAACAATATTTGAAACATAGTCCTCAGCCAAAAAGACCTTTCTCCAGCTACAAAGCTCAACATGTATGAAGCTTTACTGGGTTCTGCTCCTGAAAATGAAGACAGCCTTGTGAAGGTAAAAGTGGAAGATCCCACTTGGGAGCAGGTGTACAACACACAGGAGGGCAGCTCCCACACTCGGGAATTTTGCCGCCTGAGATTCCGGCAGTTCTGTTACCAAGAGGCTCCTGGGCCCCGGGAGGCTCTGACCCAACTTCGAGAACTCTGCCAACAGTGGTTGAGGCCAGAGATGCACACCAAAGAGCAAATACTGGAGTTGCTAGTGCTGGAGCAATTCTTAACCATCCTGCCCAAGGAGCTGCAGGCCTGGATGCAGATGTATTCTCTGCAGAGTGGGGAGGAGGCAGTGACAATGCTAGAGAATCTAACCTCTGGACATGGAGACACAGGACAGCAGGTGAGAAGATAATGTGTATGGTGGTGTGGGACAAGAAATGATACATATGAATTTGTTAATTTTTAATTTTATTTTGAAATAATTTAAAACTTACAGAAAGATTGGGAGAATAGTATAGAGAACTCCTGTATGCTCCTCACCCACATTCACCAGTTGTTAATACTTATTTTAAGATGTACCCATCCCACTTCCCTACTTGTGCAAGTGAGCCCTCTTTGTATGAATATGCGCATTCAAGCAATGACACACATACACTTTTTTTTTTCCTGAATCATTTGAGAATTAATTGCAGACATTATGCCCCTTAACCTCTAAACCCATCATTGTATATTTCATTCTCTTGTACAACCAGAATACAATACCAAGGTTAGGAAAATTACATAAAATTGTTAGGGTACTATCATATAACACTAGTATTTCACATTTTGCCACAATATCCCCGCAGTGCGCTTTTTTAAAAAATATTTTTTATAGTATATGGACATAATACCTTTATTTTTTTTTTATTTTTATGTGGTGCTAAGGATTGAACCCAGTGCCTCACATATACTAGACAAGCAGTCTACCAACTGAGCTACAACCCCATCCCCAATAGTGCTCTTTATGGCAAACTTCCCCTTGATCCAGGGCATAAGCCAGGAAGTGTCACATATTATATTTAGATGCTGTGTCTCTCTAGTCTCCATGAATCTGCTCAGTCTTTGTTTGTCATGACATCAATATTCTTGAAAAGTACAGGCAGTTTTTTTGGAGAATTTTCCTGTTTCAGTTTGTCTTGCATTTTCTCCAGAAAATTTTGGCCAGAGTATCTACCCTAGGGGTAATACTTTGTTCTCAGTCTGCCATTTCAGGAGGCTTTGATGGTTTATCTCAATACTGATGAGATTATGGTGGAGCCTAACAAGTTTCTTCAATACAAAGTTACCATCTTCCCCTTCATAATTACTGCCTAATGTGTAGAAGACATTTTGAGACAATGTATATCCGAGTCCTTATTAAACATTCATCTAAGGAGTCTTTTTTTGTGTTGTTTTTCTGGGTAGGAATCCTTTGCTTGTCTTACCTGCCTTGCTTCTATTCTGCACCCTAGATACTGAATAGGACCTGACTGCATGCAGTCCTTATTTGACAGATGAGTGTCTGTTTCACTTTCTGCTTTTTTAAGGGATTAATGGGGCTTGTTCTCTGTTCTCTTGGAGAAGTCTCTAACTGCTGTTCAGTTCCACCAAGATATGTTTTCAAGGTGAATCTTTTGTCTACAGGCCTCTTTCTATATTCAGGGACAAGACATGCACCTAGTGATGACACAATATCAGGAAGCCTCTTTGGAGTGTCAGCTCCTGCCTGGGGTAACCACCCTGACATGTGAACCTCCTCAGCTTCCCCAAGAAGTGAGTGGTGAGTGCCAGAGGGTGAGTGGTGAGTTTAGTAAAGACACAGGAAGCAGGCCACTGACAGGAGCATGGTCTTTTTTAATAGGAATGTGATTATCTGTGTCCTCAAGGTTTTGTTTTTTGTTTTTATATATATTATGAAATGATTACCACAAACTTCTTAATGTTCCTATTATCTCAGTTATCTTTGGTGAGTGTGGTGAGAATACTTAAGATCTACTCTCAGCAAATGTCCAGCAATATTTATTGTTAACTGTAATCACTGTGCTATACATTAGGTCTTCAGAATTTGCTCATTTAGCTAGGCACAGTGGTACTTGTCTGTAATTCCAGTAACTCAGGAGGCTGAGACAGGAGGATCTCAAGTTTGAGGCCAGCCTGGGAAGTAAGAAAGGCTCTAAGCAATTTGGTAAGACTCTGTCTCAAAATATTTTAAATAAAAAAGGATTGGGTATGTAATTCATTGATATAATATTCTTGGGTTCAATCCCCAGTATTATTTGTGTTTATATATATATAATTTGCCCAGGGTCAACAAAGGAAGAACCTCTTCTAAAATTTAAGGCTGCTTACTTTTGACCAAAATACCTTCTTTATGACATCTCTATATTCTACATTCCTAAATTTATACCCCTCATCCTCCGAAAAAAGATCAGAATTTTTCAAGAATATGCTATAATGGATATTGTCCCTCCTACCCAAACACTCATCACCAGCTTCTTCCCTTCTCTTTATTTTCATATCTGATTTTAACTTTTTGTGAAAATGCATCACTGTAAAGCATTCATAAATGTCACTGACTTTGGGGGTGGGAGACCCTGAAGTTTTAGAATTTCTGACAGAATAGAAACAGTTATAGTGCCCTATCCTAGACAGTAAGGTGTACATCTTCATTTGGATGTTTAATAAATCGAAGTTTTAGGGGCTAGGTCCTAAACAGAGGACACTCTTAAAGACCATTGCATTCAGGACTCTTGTTTCCTTTCTTTACAGAGTTTACTCCCCAGGAACCAGCCCTTCTCCGAGAGGAAAATTCCAGAAATACGACAGCAGTGCTTGAGTTTAACTCACCCAGGTTCCAGGTAAGCAAGGGTGCCTGGGCTTTGGAAACCTCAGTAGTTACCCTCCTTTTCTCCTTGACCTGTTCTTTGCCTTTCTCTTGGCCCACACTCCTCACTCATGGTATATTTTCTTGTGTTCATTCCATCACAGAATGTCACAGGCCATGTGCTCAATAATCCAAGGAGTTCATGTCGATTACATTCTACTACCTCATATTATACTGTGTTGAGGAAGTACATCCAGATCTCAAGATATGAGAGTGAGGGGTTTCAGAACGTGCCCCCCTATCAACTAGTCACTTGTGTTTGGAATCTCTGGTTTTTCTCCTCAGCCTGAGAACTAGGACCCTTTTTCACATTCCAATTAATTTGGTGACGATAACAGAAATTCTGTATATGCAAAATAAAACTTCACATCATCTTCACAAAATGAACTGCTTTTTTCCTTTTTAGTGTCTCAGTGGTTCATTTGTTTTCCTGGTTATTTGGTTTTTAAAAAACTACACGTTTCCCATTTAAGTCCTCTTACATACTGCTGGCACATCAGTTTTCTCAAGACACCATCTTCATGGAATCCTTTCCTCACTCAGTCCTTTTCTTTGACTTCTATTATTCTCAATCCCATTATACCCAATGTCTGCTGCTCTTAATAAGTACTTTGTCTTCTTGAAAATAAATGTATGGATAATAAAATAAATATATGAAATAATAACGATTTAAGAAAGTGTATATACATTTTAAATATCAACCCAGTTGTGGCTGGGCATTGTGACACATGCCTATAATCCCACCAACTCAGGATGGTGGCGTGGGTACAAGTTCAAGGTTAGCCTTGACAATTTATTGAGACCCTGTCTTAGAAAATGAAACTCATTAGTACACTGACCCTGGGTTCAATCTCCAGTACTGAAAAAAAAAAAAAAAACCTACTGCCTTAAAAATATATATATATAATATAAAAAAGTGATGTATGTGTGTGTGTGTGTGTGTGTATGTGTGTGTGTGTGTGTGGTACTAGGGATTGAACCCAGATTCACCCTACCACTGAGGTATATCCCAGCCCCTTCTATTTTTAGTGACAAGGTCTCACTAAGCTGCCCAGGTTTGCCATGAACTTAAAATCCCCCTGCCTCAGCCTCCCAAATCACTGGGATTACAGGCAAGTGCCATCACACCCAGGTTCTAACAGATTAATTTTGGATTTCTAGCTTCTAGAACTGTGAGAGAATTAATTTCTGTTGTTGTAAGCTATCAAGTTTGTTACAAAAGCCCAAGAAATCATATAGGTTTCAAGGCAAAGTAGACTGGTAAATAGATCATAGAAGGGATGTGCTATTTAAATAAGGTAGATTTTATATTTTTTAATTAATAATTTTTTTTGTACTAGAGATTGAGCCCAGGGCACTCTACCACTGAACTATATCCCTAGTCCTTTTTATTTTGAGATAGGGTCTCACTAAATTAGCTAAGGCTGGTGTCAAATTTGTAATCCTCCCACCTCAGCCTCCCAAGTAGCTGGGATTACAGGTATGTTCCACTACTTGGCCATAAGGTAAGTGCGTGTTATTTTTCGGGGGGGGGGGGGGTGGTTGCTGGGGAATGAGGTAGGTTTTTAAGTATCAAAATAATTGTTTGCAGTTTGGGATGGTATAGTGATGAGGTAAATATATCTTCTGTCTCGAAACTCACCTATTTGTCAAGAAGTCTGTGAAAGACTAGACACAATATCAGTTTCCAGGCAAAAGGAAAGAAAGGGTAATTTGGAAAATGAAAAAAATCAAAAAGTTAGTAAAAAGCCATATGGTAGACCTTTGGAAACTGTGTCAGATAAAGATAGAAAACCATAGACAACCCCCAAAATAAATAATTATAGTGTATAATATTTCTGACTTAGCTGTCTTATATTTCTGGCTTTGAAATATTTTAAAGCAATCTTCATTAATGAAATTCAATGAGATCTCTACATTTATATTGTTTTACATCTGTTAAAAGTCTCAGAACTCTTCCATTATATATTTGTAATCAGTTTAATTGCATTTTCCATAAGTGCCATTTTGTATTGAAATGCCTATTTAGCCATAATAGAAAATGCTGTTAAAACAGTGGGTAGAACCAATTTGAGTCAACTTTTTTTTTTTTTCTTTTTTTTTGACAATACTGGTGGTTATTGAACCCAGAAGTACTCAACCACTGAGCAGCATCCTCATCCCTTTTTGTTTTTTATTTTGAGACAGGGTCTTGCTAAGTTGTACAGGTTGGCCTTGAACTTGTGATCCTTCTGCCTTAGCTTCCCCAGTTGCTGTGATTACAGCTGTGTGCCACCATGACCAGCTTAAGTCAACTTATATAAAAATATCTTTACTCCATGTAAGCCTCCTTCTCTGAAACATTCTTATATTACTGTTGGTTAAATCATCTCATAAAAACTTTTCAGAATTCTTATTCTTAGGGGTAGCCAATTTATATCAATTGTAGATTTGGTTCAGCAGGACACTGAAAAGTCCTACAGGATATGTGACATTTTGTTATAGCGTGGGACTATTCCATGCATTTCAGGATGGCCATATCCTGTGAATAACATTGGCATGAGCTGGTGGTCATCATCACTGGTAAAACCAAAAAGTTCTCACAAATTTACAGAATACCCTGAGTGGCTGGTACCACTGTTCTGTAGTGTGATATTCAACACCTTTCACAACTGGACCCCTTCTCCTTACCACAGTGAAAACTGAAAGGCCACTTTTTGCCTTTTAGATGTCAGCGAAGACTGGGGAGGGAGAAGCCCAGGCCTTTGCCCTAGCAGAGTGGCCACATCTGAGTCTGGCTCAGAGGAACCTCTGTGAGAATTCAGCTCAAGAAAAGGTTACAAGCCTAATGAGTAAGGACAGGCCTCTAACTGGTCCCCTGTCTGTGCTATCCTTGTCCTGTCCTTTCCCTGACTTGGCCATGGGAGCCCATACTTCTACAAACCCTTACCCTCCCTTCCTCTTCTTCTGGCCTCTGCCTCCAAACTTTTCTCAGTCCTTATAATTTTGCATTTTTCCCAATCACATTATATTCTGCTGCTGCTACTTGTCCAGGTTGTGAATTCTTCTTGTGATCTTCTCTGATTTTCTCTCCCTATTCCTTTATTCCCTCAGTGACTCCTTTGCATCTCTTCTTCTCCCCATCAAGGATTCCATATAACTTATATCCTTTCACATTTAGAAGACCCACAAATACCTCTGCCTGATCCCTCTTTACCTTAGAAGAAATTCTCTTTATTCTCTCAGAACAATGCTATCCATGTTTTCTTTCTTTTTATCCTTTAGCTGATAGATGAATCATTTTAACATTTTTATTTTGAAATGATATTTAGGCTACCAACAAGTTTTAAAGATAGTACTATCCATGTTTTCTTAAATGTGCTCTGCCCTATTGTGTCTTCTCCCCAGCTGGTGTTTGGTGCCCAGGTTAACCTTTCTTATCATCTTCCCATAGCATACCACATTTTGTAGTATTGCTGAAACTGGATGCCCTGAAACACCTGTTGATTTCTTTGTTTTTTGAGGGATAGTACTGGAGATCAAACCCAGAGGTACTTTACCACTGAGTTACCTCCCCAGCCCTTTTTATTTTCCTTTTTGAGATAGGGTCTCACTAAGTTACTAAGGCTGGCCTCGAACTTATGATCTTCCTTCCTCAGCCTCTCAAATAGCTGGGATTAATTAAATATATGCCACAACACCAAACCCTATTGATTTTTTTGTTTCTTTTATTTTGAAACATCTATTCCCAACCACAAAGATTGTTTTTTCTAAATTCATAGAATATATGACATTAAATAATTAATGTATTATTTTAGCAAAAGTAATTGTAACTAAAGATGTTTTGTTTAATATAGAGCAAGACATTTCTGAAGCAATGGATCAAGGTAGGAAGACTTCAGGAATACCCAACAGGTGAGTATCTGTGGTCCTGAGTGGATCCATATTCTGCAGATCTAAGAAGAAATTAGAACCATTAGGTTCAACCCCTAGTACCACACACAAAAAAGAATATCTTGTTGTTTTATGTAACAAAAAATTCAAACTGTAGATTTGGTGCAGCAACTTACCATGATATCAAAGATTCATCTCCCTGTGGTCCTACACCCTTTTTCTAGTTCCCCATTCATACCCAGCTTCCTTACCTCACTCTTTTTCCCGTTTCCCACTCCAAGATCCTTCTCTCACCACATTGAGCTTAAAGTTTAAAATTTCATCAGTGAAAAGGTTCAGTGACATGACAGGATTCAAGAAGTATTCCCAAAGTTAAGAATGTCAGGGAATTCTTAAGATGGATATGTTAAAGAGGTCATGCATATAGATACTGAAGACACCCAGGATTCCCCCTTGTGTCTTCTAAAAATAGACTGGTTTACTAATAGGACACAAATACATAATATCCAAAATTTTAAAAGTAGTAGTATAAAATAATACTTTCATCTTAAAAACGTTGGCTTTCTTCCTTGTAAATCCCATAAAAATCCATTCAAGTGCAATGAGTTTTGAGTTTCTTTTTTATTTTCACTCAAAGAAATACATCTACCAGATCAAAGAGGATCTCACACCTTCCATGTGTAGAAATTATGTGTGAGGAGGCCTGGTAAATAGCAATTGCCTTCCTTTTCCGAGTTAAAAACCAGTTGACATAGACATAGTAGTAAAACAGATGGTTCCAGAACCTTCAACTTATTGATAGGAGCTAGACTGGATAAAGTGGCTCAGAGGTAGAGCTAAATAGGCTCAAACTGGCAGAGGAGAAGTGCAGCAGAAGTCTTCTTTTGTGGGCCTGCCTAATGCAACTAGTGACAAAAAGGGGCATGGAATGTCTGCATCCTACTCCTAAAGAGGATAGAAGGAGTTGCTATGATACCTGAGTTTCTTCTCCTAAATTCAACAGTTATGTCCTGAGGAGTGAGTTGGGGAGAGGCCAGCAATGTTAAATCTAGCCAGTTTTCCCCATGGAAACATGAGAATTGAGAATTAGCACACTACTGTACTGCTTTAGATTTAACATGTATGAAAGAATGAGACTTTCTTTGTAGCATATTTTCTTTTTTATTTCCCAGAGACTGTGCACCCCACATCTCTTGTAGCTCTTCTGTCCCTACTGAAAAGACAGTCTCAAATTTGAACACTCTAAAGGACCGTCATCCACCCCGTGACTCCTGGGCCCGGATGCACATTGCATCCTTGCAGTATGCAGCAGGAGATATTACCCGAAAAGGAAGAAAAAAAGACAAAGCTCGAGTGAGTGAACTGCTCCAAGGTCTTGCATTTTCTGATGACTCAGAAGTGGAGGAAGATGAGCCTGAGGCTCAGCCTCAAAAGAAGCTAAAGGTGTCAAGTGTCCCAGAAAAAAGTTGGACCAAAAGAGACATTAAGCCAAACTTTCCCAGCTGGTCAGCACTGGATTCTGGACTTTTAAATCTCAAGAGTGAAAAGTTGAACCCAGTAGAACTCTTTGAATTGTTTTTTGATGATGAAACATTCAACTTGATTGTCAATGAAACCAATAATTATGCTTCTCAGAAAAATGTTAACTTAGAAGTCACAGTTCAGGAAATGAGGTGTGTATTTGGTGTCCTGCTATGGAGTGGATTTGTAAGGCGTCCCAGAAGGGGAATGTACTGGGAAATCTCTGATGCTGATCAGAACCTGGTTCGAGATGCAATTAGAAGGGACAGATTTGAGTTAATTTTCTCGTACCTGCATTTTGCAGATAATAGCCACCTAGATCAAAAAGATAAATTTTCAAAATTGAGACCTCTCATAAAGCAAATGAATAAAAATTTCCTCTTGTATGCTCCCCTAGAAGAATACTATTGCTTTGATAAGTCAATGTGTGAATGCTTTGATAGTGACCAATTTCTGAATGGAAAGCCTCTTAGAATTGGCTATAAAATTTGGTGTGGTACAACCACACAGGGTTATTTGGTTTGGTTTGAGCCCTATCAAGAAGAATCAACTATGGAGGCAGATAAGGATCTTGACCTTGGGTTAGGTGGAAATCTAGTGATGAACTTTGCTGATGTTCTTTTAGAGAGAGGTCAATATCCCTATCACCTGTGTTTTGATAGCTTCTTTACAAGTGTCAAATTGGTGTCAGCTTTGAAGAAAAAGGGGGTGAGGGCAACAGGATCAATTCGTGAAAACAGGACTGAAAAATGTCCTCTTATGAATGTAGAACATATGAAAAAAATGAAGAGGGGGTATTTTGATTTCCGAGTGGAAGAAAATGATGAAATAATCTTATGTCGTTGGCATGGTGATGGTATTATCAGTCTGTGCTCCAATGCCATAGGCATAGAACCAGTCAGTGAGATAAGTTGTTCTGCTGATGGTGAAGAGATCCCACAGGTAAATCAACCATGCATAGTAAAATTGTATGAGGAATGCAGGAAAGGTGTAGCTAAAATGGATCAAATTGTTTCCAAATATAGAGTGAGGTTAAGAAGCAAGAAATGGTATTCAATTTTGGTGAGCTACATGATTGATGTAGCTATGAACAATGCATGGCAACTACACAGAGTCTGTAACCCAGATTCCTCTTTAGACCTCTTGGACTTTCGGAGATGTGTTGCACATTATTACTTGGGACAGGATGCTAGTCTTCCAGACTAAGGTAGATAAACAAAATGCATACAGTAAAAAGATAGTAAAACCACAACTACCACATTTGGTTGTATCTTACCAAAGCAAATCTGATGCATATAATGCAATTATTGAGTAACTACTATTTTTTTAAATGAGACATTTATATAAAAGAGTTTCAAAGACTATTATAAGAAATAATGTTCAAAGTTATCTGACAATGTTGAACTCCAGTGGTACTTTTCTATATGTCTAATTTGTATCATATGTTAGAAATCATTTGTTGAATTTATTTTGTGCATTAAAAGAATGGAATTCTCCCTCTCTTGTTTTCTCTAGAGAATGTTATTTTTTATTACTTTTTTAAAATTTTCTTCCAGAAATAGTTTAGTAAAAATTGACCATTTCTGAGAAACCCCTATTGCATGCCCATCAATAAAAGAGGACCATAACACAATATAAAATTTGCTAAAGGGCTTATAATTTCTTTGAAAAATTGCAGACTCTCAAACACATCAGCAAAGTCCAATATTAAGTTCACATTCCTTTTTATGGGCTATGAATAAGAATCTGATTAGATACCAATAAAACAATACAAATGCTGAACTATTTAGGTCAAAAGACCTGTACAGAAGCATCTGTCCCCAAAGGCATTCCAGTTTGAGACTCAATTTTAGAATAAGGCATAACAAATGTTAACAAAAATATACAAGGTGATGAAAAGGGGACTCTACAATTGCCAGCATACTCTGAATCTGATAAAACAAATGTAGAAATTTTATTATTTTTCTTTAATCAACTGCTAAGATTGAAATCAAAGATAAGTAGAAGTCACAACAAGTTTTGATCTAGTTGTTATTTGAATTTTCAGAATTTTTTTGTTTTCTGTTTTGTACAAATGAAACATGAAAAAATGTACTTCAAAATGGTCTTATCAATTCAAGAAAAGCCTATCAACCACAAGATAATACCATTTTTAAAATACTGGCAATATCATAACCATAGAATGACACTGTATCTATAGTCCAAAATGGAGCTGTTGCCCATGAGCTAATAATTATCTAAATAAAACCCATATGTCAAGAAGCTTAAGACCAGAATTGATATTAAGCTAGATCAGACTGTGTAAGCAAGTTGAGCCAGACAAATGTTGGAGAGTTCAACAGAGGAATACCAGAGGTGAAGCAGTGCCACTGAATATTGAAGTGAAAGATGTGTACTGTTGTATCTGTGTGGATTGGCAGCAGAAGTCAAAAAAGAGTTGAAGAAAACAGGAAAATATGAAGCACATCAGGGTCAAAGAAAGGAAAAGATAACAAGTTGACATCAAACCCATTTTGAAATACCCTAAGTAGTAAATCCAGGAGTAAGCAGAAATACTTGGAAAAGTGAACTGATTCATTATTGTTGAAATGTAGTTTTGGTAGATTAAACGGTAAAGAGAAAATGGATTTCACTGCAATTGTGTTGTAGACAGAACTTTTCTTTCAGCAGGAATTTTTTTTTTTTTTTAGGTTCTCTAAATTTATTTTAAAAATCATAAAACTTTTCTTACAAAAGAGCATTACATTCTGCACACTGCTCTGACAGATGCCAGGGACATGTGGACTATTACTTTCTTCCCTGTCCCCCCCCCCCAAAAAAAAAAAAAGGTTTACAGTGCCCACAAAGCAAGGTGCTCACAATAATTACATAGAGGGGTTGTTTTGTTTTGTTTTGTTTTTAACCACCAACAATGAACAAAAAAATAAAATTCACTCACTCTGCTTCTGTTTCAAAATTTCAATGTTAGTTTTTGCTCGCCCTTCCCTCCCAACCCTGTTTGTAAGGAACTAAAACTACATCTGGTAGGTGAACAGCAAAGATTTCACTATACCTCAAATGCAGAACACCTATGAAGCAGAGGAATGTTGGCTTTTTAAACAGAAACAGATTTAAAAAAAAAAAAAAACATGCAGGGCTCCTTCAGTTCTTCGTTAGTCTTAGAAAAACTTTCCAGAGTACTGCTTCACACTGTTCTGCAGCAAATACGGTACATTCTGTATCTGGTCCTGTGTTCCTGTAAAGGTAATGATCTGATCTTCAGATCCTTCTAAAGGCTCTTCAATTCTGATTGAGGCTCTGGATTCATGACAGATTTGCTTAATCTGCTGACCATCTTTGCCAATAATAGATCCAGCCAAATCTTTGGGAATACTTACTTGTGTTGCAATAATAGGTCTACCAAGATCACCATATGAGCCACGACCCCCTGCATAGGAATAATCATATCCAGAGCCACCCTGTGGTTCATAAGCCATCTGCCATTCTGATGGGCTCCATGTATCTATTGCAGACTCCCAAGTTTCATCAGCACTGAAACCAACCATGCCATAATGGTCTCTAGGTTTTTCTCTTTTGTCATAGGCCATTAGATCTCCTCTAGATGGTGGCGGTAAAGGAAGAGAAAGATTTCAAGCTCTGCTCCCACCTTGGCCACCTCGACCAGAAGGAGGAGTCGTGGTCCTCGATGAGGGCTCATATCAACATAATCTCTTCTAGAGGGAGGCATGGGATACCCACCCCTACCAGGTGGAATTCTGTCGAAACCACCTCTTCCCCACATGGGAAATCCCACTAGATGTCTGCGGTGGTCATCAAATATCATAAAACTACCATAATCATATGTTTCATCATAAAAACTAGGATCATAAGGGTGTGCATGCCCTTTGATGGGAGACTCAGATATAATATCAAGGATAATCTTTATGTACTCTACCACCCTATCAGGCTTTCCCCCAATAAGAACAACTCTGTCAGTGGAATGAGGGCAGCATTCTTGGAAAAGCTTGATTGTTGTCTGAGTGTTCTCTCAAAGTCTTTGATTTTAGCATTTTTGACCCCAATAATTCCTCCTGCCAGACTCTGATGAATCAACAGTCTCAACTCGAAGTCAAAATCACTTCCTTTATAGTGCTGATAATTTAAGCATTCCATATCATCAGATTCAAGCAGGAGCTGGCTGGTTGCAGTGGTTGATGGCAACTGCAGGCCCTCTTCCAAGGTAGCGATGGTTTTCTTCAGAATGTCTCCAATTGTACCAATATCAGCAATGATTCTCAATATGGTCTCTCCGGAGACCCTTAGTATTCTTGTCTCCTTTCCCAATCACTGCCCCAGCATTCTTGCTCTGAAGCAGAATTTGTAATTCAACCATCTCATCACTGTTTGTAGATCTTTTAAATGTTTGCTCCTCTTCCATATTTTCTGCAGGACACTTACCAAATTCACCGTTGGTTTTAGTGTTGGGGAAGGTTTCCTCCGGCTGTTCAGTATCCATTTTCTTGTATTAAATGGACACACCAATCAGTTATTATATATCCTTGCAGAGCAAAACTGTAGTGTTCTGGGGCAGGACCAATAACTGACACACTACTGCTGCAGTAGACACATGAATCTGCTGTCCCCTCACAGCCCTGCCATCTCAGACAGTCACAGCTATACAGAGAACAAGCGCAGGGCCCCTCCCCAGCCTTCTCTCAACAGGAATTTCTGTTGTGTGCATAGTTTGTGATGGAAGTGTAAACTCTGTGTCACAGAGTCACAGATTGACCTATTCCACACAAGCTGCTTAAAGTGTAAGTTCAGTATTTCCTGTAATTTGTTTCTTCATGATATATTCTTCAACATTTCTGGTATCTATAAGCATCTACCCACAAAAAAGTCACCTTGCAGAAGTTCAACACCTTTGTAATTATGAGACTGTTGCCTTAGAAAAGGACTTTCCAAAGTTTCTTGCAGAAGAATGATCACTTTGTGTACTCTGCCCATTAAGCTCAACACCTGTGATACTTCTCTCCATACCACTTTTATGGTGCGTATCCAATACTACCTTACATGGTTATTTTTATTCAGTACATGTCTATTACTAGAAAATAAACATCCAGAAAATCTCTCTGCAACCAAAACAGGACCTAAAGTTATTTGCTATTACTATTCAGGATACTTGTTCACTTCAACTTCATGGGAAACTTAGAAATCCAAATAAATAGCTTTATCTTTAAAATGTACTTTAGAAAGGGACAGATTTGAGTTGAGTATGGTATTAACCTTGATGGGAAACTTGGGGTGAGAGATGGTGAAGACAAATGGTGATTTTAAACTATTAGGGGTTAGGGTATAGCTCAGTGATAGTGTAATGCCAGATTCGTGGGACCCCAATAGACCTCTAGAAGCCGAATCCGATGCAATCACACAAGAGTCTTTATTGCACCTCCAGCCTGGGCTCACAACCGTTTCTGATGCAGAGGTCCCAGGGAGTGAGTCCTGGCCCTTTGTTCAGTGAGATTTTATAGGTTTTGGGGGATACTCTATGCGTCACAACATCACACAGCAAATCATTTCACATCGCGGGAAAGTCAAACAACAACTCTTAACATTGATTAGCACATTCACTGGAGGGAACAAGTTGGGTAGGGGGATTCCTTTGAAATGATTGTTTAGGCCACAAGGGATGTATGTGCTAAACTATATGGTTTCCCAACATGTTATCAACCACTATAAACCTGTGGGGGGGGTCATCTGGCATCCCAGGTATTTTCCCTGTTTCATGCTGATTGGTGGCTGCTAGGGGGTTCCTATGGGTCCTCACCTAGCCTAACTGAGTCAGGGATACCTGGTGCCGAAGATCTCTCTTATTTGTAGACAAACAACTCAGCAGGGTGGGTATGTGCTTAGGAGTGCTCTGTGGGTTTTTCCAAGGACAAGGGTCACGCCCCCTTCCTTGGACAGGCTTTGCTCTGAGGTAGAGGCTGGTTTCTCAAAAATGGAGTCACAGCAGTTTCTCAATAGAATATTTACATATGTGAAGCCCTGGATCCAATCTCCAGCACCAGGGAAAAGATAAGTTACATTAAGTAATCTGGCTAGCACCAAGGAACTATTCCAACTGAGTCACCATAGTTACTGTAAGGCAGGACTATGATCAGGTTTCCTATATCTCTCACATTGAAAGATCTAATTCAGGATTCTCAGCATGGAGGGATCTGATTAGGAATTCTCTGATTATCAATAATTGGGTACAAAATTAGGATCAAACTGGTTTGCCTTTTTTGCATATACATTCTGAAATAAGGCCCATACTCAAGAGTAAATATTTTCTTTATTATTTTAAATAAAAATTTTGTGTAAAGTTCTTTACTGTAGTTTCACTCCCCTGTCATTAAGGGAAAATCCCATGTGAATATGTAACTTCTTCACCACAGTGGGTTTTTAAGGTTGAAAGTCAGAGTTCAGAAGAAGAAAGTGCCAAATACAACTATATAAAGTTTTTTCTCCAGGATATATTTACTAGAGTTATGAGGCTAACTAAATCTATAGCTATCTTGCATGTACAACTACAATTTATCTTCAAGGTAGGGCTTATCTAAGTGTCAATGTAACCTCCAGGACTGTTTTAGTTATAGTTTTAGTAACAGGTATATGACTAATGCAAGTAATAAAAATGGGCTCTGAACAAAGACATAATTGGTTTTCACTGTACTAGCTGCACTCCTGGAATAATAATTAAGCTCTTCACTTCTTCTTTCATTGATTCATCTATTGTTTTAATTTATGGCCCAGCATGGTGTTGCATGCCTGTAATCCTAGCCTCTCTGGAGGCTAAGGCAGGAAGATCACATAGTATTTTTTTTAATTGACATTCTTTCTTTATTTAGGTATTGGGGCTTGAGCCCAATGCACTTTACCACTGAGCTACATCCTAACCCTTTTATGTATTAATTTTGAGATAGGATCTTGCTAGGTTCCTGAGATTCTCACTAAATTGCTGAGGCTGGCCTTGAACTTGTGATCCTCTTACCTCCGCCTCCCAATCACTGAGATTACAGATGTGCATCACACCTGGCTCCTTGATTTTGTGTGGGTGAGGCGGGGGTGAAGGGACAGTTGTACTTAGGAAGCGTTGATCTGACCAAAACTGTTGCTAATCTCCACAGTGATAAGGCCTCTCGCCTATGTGGACTCTGGTTTTGCTGCTCTTAGCACTCCTAAGGCCCTCATCCTTGTGTTCTCGCCAGTGCTGGACAAGTTTGTAGCCCTGACAACTGGCCTATCGCAGTCCTCAAAAGAGTGTTGAATGCTCTTCATAAGCAGAAGTGTTGCAGCAAGAGGTCGCCACTGAGAAGGGTACCGCCCGTGCGCAGAAGCCCAGCCCAGCATTTTTAACCATACAGGTAGGTGCTGGAGCCCGAATGGTGGAAGCCTAGCCACCTGCCACAAGAAGTTTTGTTGGCCCTGTAGGGTGCAGCTTGCAGTAGAAAGGGTTGGTGTCACTGAGCTCGCGCAGGCGCTGAATTTGGTTGGAGGCTGCGCCAGTGGATACCAATCCTCTAGCACACCAATGTGGCTCCCCGCCCCCCCTTGCCACCCACCAGGTGTATGCTCAGTAGATTTGGAGGTCCCAGGATTGGATAAGGTCTTTCCTACACACCACACACGTGGACCTCGTTTTTTCCCTTGTGAATTAGCCCATTGACGGCTTCTGTGGCATTTGGAACTCTGAAAAACTTTTGAGGAACGCATGGGATTAAGGGAGTTTCACTTCTTCAGGTGTTTCCTACTCTAAGGCCAGCTGCTTTTTCTTTTATTAGTCTCCATATTTTCAACTTTGGATTTTTTATCTGTAATACAAAAGAAATTTGTCAACCCTTCCCCATATTGGATAAGGACAGGATTAATCAGATGAAATAATAGTAAGCTTGAGTGTTGACAAAGACTGCCAGGGCCCCTCTCTGCTTTCAACTGCTTTAGACTGAAGCTCCAGAGGAGAAACAAACAGAAAAGTGATCCGGGCTTGGTAAGTGATAGACCCAACCTGATCTTTTCTTAAAATTGGAACCATCTCACCACACAGCCATGAAAAGATAATTTTGGCTTTACTATAAATTACTGCAAATTCTGAACCTGCTTGGAATGCCTGCCCATGCCTTGAACTCATCCATGCCTGGCTCTCTGACCAGATAGCAGCCCTCTCTGAAACTTTAGTGACGCCTCACAAATCTTGGCCTTCCCTGGCCAGATAATGACACTCTCTGAGGCTCTAATGACCTTCATAAATTCTGATGTCAGGGCCAGCAAAAATGTAAACTACCATTAGTGTTATGCTCCTCAGAGTTCTGTTGTCTGTAAAACCCCCCTTTTGTAACTTTCTAGGCTATAAATAAATCTGGGCTGCAGGAAAGCTGCGGGTGCTGTCTTGTTCCCGCGGTTTTGGGTGGGAGAGGCAGCCTGGCCGGTCGAAATAATAAGCTTGCTTTAATTTGATTTTAATTGGAGTCAGTGGTCTTTTCTTGCATCTAACAGTAAGGAGGTTTGGTAAATGTTCAGGCAGGAAGAATGATCTCCAAAGGACTGGAGATCAGCTATTCTGAAGAGAAGAGGATACCAACATGGCCTTAGGATTTGGAAGCCATAGAAAAGGGACTTACTGGATAAAATATGGCATTGTGGATGTCAGCAGTGGTATGATGTGCCAGAAGAGGTACCAAGCAATCTAGACCCATAGTTGTGGCAGGTATCAAAGAATGAAGAACATAAAGAGCCTGTTGGGCAAAATGAAGGAAGATTGCTAGGAAGTAAAGAATGGGGTATGTCATATGTGTCAGGTTGATGGCAGTGACTTAGGAACAAAGCACCAGCCAGCCCGCACTGTGCAAAAGAAACACCAATCGGGCACTAACGGGACCACCTGTCAGTCAGGGGTCTCCTGGCCAATCCTGGATCCTAGCCAGCTACCCCTGACCAACCCTAGAAGGACAAAGGACTCTAAAAATCCCTTTTCCTGTCCCAAGCCCTCCCTTTCTGCCCTAAGCCCCATAAAATTCCAGTCCAGTTGAGCCCCCACAGGGTTTCTTCTCAGACCCTATTATCTACTCCGTGGGTCTCATAGAGTTCTTCCCCAAGTGAAATCTCATTAAAGCTTCATTCAGCAGCCTTTTAAAATCTGCCTCCTTTTGGTTGTCGACATTGCCTGACCTTACAATATGGCTGGAGAACATCAAGAGAACTTCAACAAAAGCAGCCAGGGTGAAGAGGAAGCCTTGTAATGCCAGATTCGTGGGACCCCAATTATCTTACCTGATAAGCAAGATAACACAAGAGTCTGTATTGCAAGCTCAAGCCTGGACTTACAACCGTTTCTAACACAGCGGTCCCAGGGAGTGAGTCCTGGTCCTTTATTCAGTGAGATTTTATAGGTTTTGGGGGATATTCTATGTGTCACAACATCACACAGCAAATCATTCCATACTAAGGTAAAATCAAACAACAACTCCTAACATT